GTTTGCTTGGTTGAAAGCGTTTACCATGGAAAACGTTTTCACTTTTATTTCATACAGCTTTCTTTTAACATATCTCTGATTCATAAAAGTTTCGCTCCTTTAAATCGAAGGAATTTGATAATACCGAAAACACTGGGTAGCCTTCGGACGTTTATGCATCATACAATTAGCGCGGCAGTCTTGAATTGCGCATTATGTAGATATGTACATAGGTGGTTCCCTGTTAGATTCGAACCTAGCACCTTCTCGCGATTATGGCAACTGGCTGACCTTAACCGTCGCTAACTAGGTCACCGTATCAATATCAAGGTGCCTCGTGATAAAAATAACCGGTTCCCGTAACGGCGGTGCTTAAAAGCGATTTACGATATTTAATCTATAACGGCTCTATATTATTAAGCGCTGCTCTTGATATATTTTTAATCTGTTCTTTTATTTAAATAAGATCGTCAGTAAGTCGTGATATATCAACTGCTAATCTCACTAAAATACTATTGTTAAAAAAGATATTTCTGCTCAAAGCGTAGTTGCTATACTATTGATATGGGTTATGGCTTAGATTACTACACTGCAACATTGTATGAAGTAAAGTAATAGCCCATACATGTCCCACTGCTGGGCAAAGCCTTCTCTGTAGAAAGGGTATCAGGACATAGTCCACCACCTTTGATAGGTTTCCTCACGACGTTTTCCTTCACCGCTGAGCACGTGCTATGTCAGCACTTAAAATTAACAGTTTCATTGTTGCCGGCACCGGGGATCGAACTCAGGTTGCTCGATTATATTGAAATAATGTCGAGCGCCCGGCCACTGAGCTATCACGACCCCTTTGTTTGATACAGGGATAATTACACCTCATCCGGGTGTTTGTCCGAGTAAACATTTTGAACGTAAACCCTTCAATAGGACGCAACAAATAAGAAATAACATGAAACGAAACACTTCAATGATATAATATTCACGAAATGAGCTTAGAAACGTAGGGAGATAAATTTAAATAAATCGCGATAACATTTTATGTCACCGCGATCAATGTTTTCTTGATATCTAATAAAAGAGATCAAGAAAACATTGTCCGAAGCCTAATTTGCCGCCGACATTGTTATTATGTTTACAGAATGTACAGTCACAGGAACAAAGTTAACATGATCAGTTTGACATTAATATCTGATTAATAGTTAGTTGATTAACGTTGTTGTCAAGATGACAAGACCACAATGTTAATTAACATGTAAACATTTTTGTTAAGCGTCATAATGCCCTAATAGCTTATTGTACGGGCTATCTTTTAATACAATATACTGTACAATATACTCGAGACACTTGAGTTCGATCCTCGGTGCCGGCACCAATGAAATTGTTAATTTTAAGTGCCGAATTATCACATGCTCAGCGGTGAAGGCAAACATCGAGAGGAAACCTTCATATTTTCGAAATAATAATAAAAAGGTAAAAAAAACAATATGGCCTAATATAGAGGAGGTTTTTGGCCAGCTGTGGAACTTGTATAGGCTGTTACTTCACTTTAACTTTACTAAGTGACGGAACATGCTTTAATCTGGATACCAACTCACGCAATGAATTCGCTACTTCGAATGGCGTCCGAGTATACGTTTGCTTTAATTTCGCAATTATAAATAACTAGCTGCTGTCCGCGACTACGTCTGCATAGAATAGGCTGAAGGTGTAACATTAAGACAGAAAGGCGGATATTCATAAAATATGTATATAAATTATAGCCTATGTCTTATTCTTATGTATAAGCTATATTATTGTAAAGTTTCATTAAAATCCATTCAGTAGTATTTGCGTGAAAGAGTAACAAACATCCATCCATACATAGAAACTTTCGCCTTTATAATATTAGTTAGTATTAGTAAGGATATAAAAACTCATGAAAGCTTATCACTAGTCGAAGTTTGGATTATTTTATGTCTATAGTTATTAAGCGATTCAGCTAATGTTAAGTGAATATTGCCGCCCATGGACATTTGCAACATCCAATGGGTTTCTGATGCCTTGACAACCAATAAGTCAAATAAGTATTAAACGGTGATGGAAGCTATTGTTATATAAAAAATAAGAGAGTACATATAATCATTTTTAGGGTTCCTGTAAATTATAACTCGAGGTAAGAGAATTTCTTTGTTCGAATTGATTATAGAGGTTCTTGCTTGCTTATACATATTACTCCTTTCATGAGTTCATTTCTTCCTTCGTTTTTAGAGTTACGTACCCAAAGGGTAAAACGGGGTAAAAAAATAATAGGGTCACCATTAAAAGATTTCGCCTGTCTCGCCGTCTGCCACCAGGCTGTATCTCATGAACCATGTTAGTTAAACAGTTGAAATTTTCACAGATGATGTATTTCCGTTGCCTCTATAGCAACGAATACTAAAAAACACAGTAAATATTTAAGCGGGGCTCCCATTCAACAAACATGGTTTTTTTGCCGCTTTTATGGATAATGGTACGGAACCCTTTGTGCGCGAGTGAAACTCGAGGGGTCCGCAAATTAAAGAACTTAATAACTCGAGTTAAATTGCAAATAAACACTCCTTGTCTTAATTGTGCACGCTAGACCGCCAGTAAGTCTGTAACTTATTATTTGTTAATGGGTTAAGTTAACAGGGTTACCGCCTTGGCCTAGTAAAAAGTAACATTCGAAATATACTTGAACCGACATCACGCTGCTCTGCCTACCCCCGAAATAATGAATATTTTATATGAATTATATTCTAATCGTATAGGTTAGTTCTTTATTAAATTTTGGTTTTTTAGTTTAAATTTTTAATTGTGTATTAGAATATTCCAAAGGGTGGTGGGGTGGCCTGGTGAACCTTGTCTTACGGGTTTTTCACTACCCCACGGTAGTAGGGCCACGCAGCGGCCTCGGCTGTTGCACGAATGGGCAGGCTCGTCCGGGTAAGTACCACGACCTCACAGAAGACTGACGTCAAGTGGAAATATAATACTTTCGCGTTTCGTCTGGTGAGTGGGGTGGCCGGAGCCAAATTTTCAAAAGGTTGTCAACGCATCTGGAACCCTCGGGTTAAGTAGATGTCCATGGGCGGCGGTATTCACTTAACATCAGGTGAACCGTCTGCTCGCTAGGCAACTTTTTACATAAAAAAAAATATCCACAACTAAGCATGTTTTAAAATCTTTTTCAGAAAATTTTTTATCGCCGACTTTAAATATTTTAGTTGTGTTATTATTGTTACTAATGACAGCGCCCTTCAAGTCTGAATTACTCTGAGCAATTAGAACAAGCAATATTATCGAGTTGTAAAAATTTACCTTTAATTAGCTATTAAAAACGTGTACGCATTATAACACATGCATTATTTTCTGACGAGGTTGCGATGTACTAATTAACGCTGCCTTTGTCTTCTAATGTGCGGTTTTTTGTTACTCCGTACTGATCGTCTACTGTCTATCCATTTACATACATTTACACAGATAAATAAAATTGGAGTGTCTGTCTTTAATATTAAAATAACCGCTTTTTACTAAATGCATGTACACGGTACGTATACCAAAAATAATTCTTTTTACAATTTTTGACTGTCTGTTTGTTACGGCTAATCTCTGAAATGGCTTGCTGATGTAATAAGGAGTTACCAAGGCTACTTTTATTTTAGAAATTTTGTTCATTCATTCCATTTTTTAGTATCACAATTTTATTTATTCCTCGCGAACGAAGTCGTGGGCACAGCAAGCACAAAATTATATAATATGTTTATTACATAACAGATTCTTACAAAGGTTTTGTGGGGTTCCTATCAAAAATCACCCATTCACTATTCCTATGAGCCAATATCTTGCTTAATTAAGGACAAGCAGACGGTACACACTCACTTTATTCGTAGGGATGCCATTACTAAACGTTACTATAACCATAAAAATGACCGCGTACCACTACAAATAGCTACGTATTTTACACCAGGACCAGTTATAAGCGTCCTTAATGTTAAGGTTTTATATAATTGTATTGATACACATAATATATTGAAACCTTAAGACACAGTCAGCCGTGATCTTGTGCCATTTACGACGTAATTGAGGCAATCTAGCTGATATCATAACTTGTCACGCGCATTCGGACTATGTAATATATCGAATACGGGCACTCGATAAAGCATTTAACCCTCACACAATGGATACCTTTCAATAGAAGGCTTCTACGCGATAAAGAGATAAGGCATAAGAGAGACAAGTAAGAATTTAGTGGAGAAAGAAAGTTGTACAGAGAATAAAAATGTTTTCGTTAATATTAATCAAAACAATGTATGCGGTTTATTGACCTTAAATAACCGCGTACAATTTGAGGTTAATTAAACATGATAAAATTCCCAAAAAAAAAAAAAAACGTATTTTATGTATGTAAATTGTGAACTATTCTCGTAAATACAGGTTGATATAAAGCTGCATAAAACAGCCAACCTCAATTAGCTCTTACATCTATCAGTAACTAAACGGTTAATAATTTACGGTACAATAAATTAAATTAGATTTATCATCTCAAATTCGACAATTTATCGGCGACGTTGAGTTCCACTAAAAGTTATGACGATATATCATTGAAATGTTTTAATTTCACGTTGAAATATTTCAACTATCGTAAAGGGTATCGGTATTAAAAGGTATCTGCTACCGTAAGGGTGTAAACGTCTATGGGCGATAATCAGTTAACATCAGTTGAACCACTAACTCGCTTGCTAGTTAAAACCAATAAGATCTCCGTCATCTCAGAAGGCGCTCCCAATCTCGGAAACGTTTCGCCCATGCGAATCGTTATCGCGCGCCTCCGGGAACATTGTAACACCGATAACCCGAGCGCGGGTCGAGCGGTTCGACAAATTGCCGACCACTTACAACCAATTAGTGGCCGATCGACACCATAACGGAACGGACACGCACGGAAAGGCGGGGGCACACCGACCGTAAGGATAGCGCGATAACCGTACGTCTTCCAGCGAGGTACATGCGAGCCTGAAATGTCGGCGGTCAACGGGAAAGACACGACGACGGAGCAGCCGCCGGTGCCGCCCTCGTCGCTGATACGCCGCGTCAGCTCGCGGTCCATCCGCAACTCGATATCCGAGGAGAAGGAGAACGGCGTGGACGGCACCAGCGCCACGAAGGGATCCTTCGTCAGCAAATACAAGAAGGCGCCCGAGGCCCTGAAGGGATTCATCAACGATGCGGAGGACGAGCTCGAGGTGCCTGGGACTCCGATGACGCCGCGCACGTCAACAACACCTGGTTTGTTTTCAATACTACCGCCGTGATTTCTGAGCTTTCTTCATGTCTCAACTAGCGACCCGCCCCGGCTTCGCACGGGTGCATAATACATGTAAACCTTCCTCTTGAATCACTCTATCAAGTAAAAAAAACCGCATCAAGATCCGTTGCGTGGTTTTAAAGATGGCATACGTAGAGAGAGACTTTGTTTTATACTATGTAGTGATGATAAGTAGTCTGTCTCCTCGGGCGATTTTAAATGATAACCTGGTACTCCTAACGGTCACATATTTTTTTCTTGCAAGAACGTCAAAGAAAATTGCCCCATCCCCATATCTAATCCTTTTTATAGCTTTAGACGAGCAATTCTTGTATGTGTGTAAAATTTAGGAAACGGCTGTATAAATTTTGAATTTTTTTATTCAGATTAGGCTTTTAGATTTGCTTTTATCTATATAGATAAACGTTGATGGTCGCCCGAAAAAACTATGATATTAACACACACCAGACTGTCCTGTACAGTGTAAAATTTTCAAAATTCAAAAAAGATTTGTTTTCATTTTTTTAACTTCTAGTGGAACTTGTGATGGTGTCTACTATTACTTAAATTAATCTGTAAAACAATATTTTGTGTTTTTATAATTATATTATACATAATAGTAAAATTAAACACATTGCGCTCTCGTAATTTTCGGAGGTTGCTTGTACTTTTGTTATTGTATCTTCAAAACTTCGTTAGATGGCGCCATATGACATTATAAAAATAAGAATAACCTTGCCGAGAAACATTGACGAAAAATTGCGAAGAATTTTAAAGAAATAACGCTACTAAGTAACGAACGTAATATAAAAAAGTATTCTCAATAGTTAAAAAAAAGTCATATGTTTGCAAATGCCATTTACATAATTATTGTCTCCTTATGCCTAATTGGAATAATGTACTGTTCATATTCTATATACAGATATGTGCATACTTAATATGAACAAAATTTACACTCTTTCCTTATAATATTATTAGGAAATTAAGTTTTTAAACTGGGTCTATTTAATGAAGTAGTAAATTTATCGAGTTACTTAGTTCTATTTTAGATTTTACTTGCTCCTTCGTAGTCATTTTATAACTTATATCACTTTTCCGATATGAGATTCTTCTTTCATTATGATCATTACAATACATACGTACTATACATAATATAATACGTGCTTTGTGTTATTCATAAATTCATTACTTTCATTACTACTAGTATAATGATTGCGATGATCGTACTACGGTCAACTATCTGTCCATGTTATTGATTCTCTGGTATTATTGATGGGACTACACCGTTAAGACATTACACACTAATGTTCTTGAAGTTATACTTATTTGGCACTTTAGGGAAAAAAAAATATGAGAGTGAACTAATCAGACGCGCACGCACAGCGAGCTGACAAATTAACACCATGGATTTTTTATTTATTTATTTATTTGTTTGAATATGGTATAAAGATGTTAACAGTCATATTACACGGTTCAATCATATTCAACCATTTCTGGTATACAAAATTCTTAGACATATTCAAGGTTACATTCTATACTTACTTTTAGTTATGTGTGTATGTGTTATACGGCGAGAGGAAATTAACAAAATGAAGTTAGTAGATGATTAATCTCATTTTAATATTGTGTTTACTAGAGGGAGATTTATCGCGTCACTTCATGTTGTTATTCCATGCGGTCATTTAACTTCATGGTTTATTTCTTTTTATTACGCCAAATAGTGATTAACCTCTTATACGTACATACATAAATACAAAAACATCTTATTTTTGAAGTTATACCTGGCACGTTTGGAAAAAAATATAAGAGTAATATTTTTACTGGGCGCCCACAACGACCCTCAAAAAGCGACATGATGAAATTGGTTGGTTGTTGTGAAGCAGCTAAATTCACGGCATTACCTAATGGTAATCCCAATAACAACTTTTTCACCTTTACCAATAACTTCCAAGTTATTTTAATAAGCCGTTGACTTTAATGTCTTTTACGTTAAAGAAGTATATTGCAAAAATATTGTATAATATTCGCGTAAAATCAAGAAGTCAAGAACTATAAATCCTTACGAGTATAGCAAGTATAGCAATACTTTTTTATCATTTTTAGAATATTTGTAAACCTTTTATTAGTAAACATGTCAGAAAAATGATGATTCCAATCCTTTGAATCATCAATCCAATGAAGTCATTTGTGTGTGTAAGAGTTTAATTATATTGTGGAGAAAAAATGCTATATGCTATTTATAAAGAACTTGTTATGAATCTTTATAGTTCAGCGCTTAATTATTTGTGTCACTAAATTCACTTTCATTAGGCGTCTTCACAATTTCATCTATTAATCTATTGTATCGATATTTTTAATGTTAGGACATTAAACTAAGGACTTACTTCAACAATTTTTAATACTAAGTTTCATAATTAAAATTTTCAATATTTTCAATATCTATCGTTTGTATAACGAGTTACTTTTTTTCGTTTTTACTTCTTCTCTAAAACTGTGCTATTTACGAATGTTGACCGACTGTTATTGTTTTTCAGTGTACCACATAGTTTTACAACTCTTGTAGTTTGATGGTTGTTGAAAAGAGTATTTAAGCGAATCATTATTACGTTCAAAATAGATAGTAAAACCTAAAACCTATTATTTGTCTGAAAATAATAGGCAGGTATAGCTCAGTTGGCTGACAAACGTGAGATACTTGTATTGTAATTGATGTTGACTCTGGTCCGAATATAAATTCCTAACCAGTCACAGTATAATGTTATCGTAATAGTAATTTTTTAAACAAAAAAGATATATATCCCTATAGAAAAGATATCAAATAGCAGCGCTATGGTTCTTTAGAAATGACAAAGTTATAATTCTTAACTTATCAAAAGAACGTTTTAAAATAGGATTCGATATTTTTCGAATCCTATTTTTAAATGTTCCTTTTAAAACCCACAATTACAGTGATTATGGGGCCAAATCAGGTTGGAGTAACTACAAACAAATAGGGTTTGCTCTAAGTGGTAAATCAGTGAAATTGTCAACCCTATTGTGGTGCCTCCCGATGACCGGTTGTTTTCCCTCTCGCTTCGACTTGTGACATCTAAAATGCATATAAGCGAGACGCCAAACAATAAAAAAGAAACATAATTATCTTAATAAAAACAAACACAACATCTCTGCAGTTCCTTGCCTTTTTGCGAGATAGTTTACCCTCCATGTTTTCCGTCGCGTAAAGTACAATATTCGATGAAGAAAATACATACAATAACAGGCCAAGTGCGAGTCGGACTCGCGCACGAAGGTTTCCGTGCTATTATATATATCGATAAAAACGGCAATAACATTATGTCAGTTGTACGGAAGCCCCACTTAAATATTTTTTTATTCTGTTTTTTATTATTTGTTATTATAGCGGCAACAGAAATAAATCATCTGTGAAAATTTTAACTATCTCATGAACCATACCACGGTTAACTACCACGGTTCATGAGACAGCCTGGTGACAGAGAGACAGACAGATAGGAGAGTCTTAGTAATATTATACCCTTTGGGCATGGAACCCTAAAAGCAATGCCGTCAAGCACGTCCACAAATGCACGGCTGCAGTCCGCTGGCACTCGAAACCTCTGCTGTCAATATGATGTTTTCAGTCATGGCAAATGCTAGAAAAGGTGTCTTGGGTTCAGACTTGATTCATGTGACTTGATATACTTGGACTTGATACTTGATACAACTGTTGGACAATATACTTTTTTTTTATGTGAATTGCCAAACTAGCAGACGGTTCACTTGATGTTAAGTAAATACCGCTGCCCATGGACATCTGCTACACCCGAGGGTTGCAGATGCGTTGACAACCTTTTGAAAATTGTGCTCCGGCCACCTCACTCACCAGACGAAACGCGAAAGCGTTATACTTCCACTTTACGCCGGTCTTCTGTGAGGTCGTGGTACTTACCCGGACGGGCCTGCCCATTCGTGCAACAGCCGAGGCTGTTGCGTGGCCATACCACCGTAGAGTACTGTCCAATACATGTATCAAGTTGGAACCTAAGACACCGTTCCTCTCACCTGTCGTGGCGCTATCTAGTCGCACGTCGTTTATTTATTGATGTCGAAAACGATGTCAGGAAACGCGACAATACAATATCAAATAGGCAGTAGTTCCCGTTGTTCGCGAAGCTCAAACAGCAGTATTTAATGTATCCGTTGATTGTTTTTATGTGAGCACCTGATGTTAAGTGATAACCGCCGCCAAATTACATTTGCATTTTGCAACAACCCTAAGGTTGCCAATGCGTTGCCACCTTATAACAAAGTGGGCCCCGGCTACCTCACTCAGCAGACGAAACGCAGAAGTGTAACACTTCCGCCTCACGCCGTTCTTCCGAAGACTGTTGCGTGGCCTTACCACACTAGAAAGACGTGCGGACGTTTTGCCATTCTTTCAAAAAGTGTGCCCCGAATACCTCACTCACCTCCTCTTCACGCCGGTCGTCGAATTCGGTTACTTATCTTCTTTCTGGATTTACGGCCCTTTGTTAGATGAGTTACAGTAAGGGACTCGAAGTATGCCTTTCGTCATCACGTAATGGGTGTCAAGGCAAAAGCGGACTCGCTTTTTGCTCTGTACTCACCACAAACGACTATGTTGGCTCTTAATTACCAGTAGGCATGGTATTCAAGCACTAGCTAATCTTCTTATTGATAAAAATTAATGGTTGCATATTTGTAATTTACGTTCGCAACGTATATCCAATTGAGGTGAAACTTTGTCGAGTCGTTCGGCGAAAACGAAGATTATCATTAAAGAGATTCAATGTGAAATGTTCCCAAGTGAGCATTCGACTCACCAAATGTTAAATGGATACTACCGCTTAAGGACATCTGAAACACCCGATCGCTTGCTGATGCGTTGAAAACCTATAAAGTGGGTTCCTTGGTTCTTGGTTCTTTGGTTGCAAAGCTACCCAGTTCACGGTGTCACCATTCCAAGCAATAACAAATTTTTGACATTTACCTATAATTCCAAGCTATTTAAATAAACCATTATCGATTGCATTGAATGTCTTTTTCACAAACAAAGTACTGGGGATAAAATGTTTATATTTATTTTTTCTATTGTTATGTTTCAGAGTATAACATCTTACTTGCATACATAAGTAGACGGATTTTTTTTTTATTTAATGTTTAACACATAAATAAATATTTCAAGACACACTTTTACACAATGTTTTCTAGTTCCAAACTAAGCAACGCTTGTACTATGGGTACTAAATAACTGCTAAACATGCTAATTATTAATTACATTATAAATATATAAGACACTGGTAAAGCACTATGTTATCACACAATATTTTTACAGATCGAACCCACAGTCTCTGGCACAAGAGGTAGGTCTCTAACCACTACGCCAATCAGGTCGTCATTGTGTATTTTTGATACCTCGAAGTTTGGACGCGGTTCAGTGCTGGTACAGTTACATTAAAGCTTGTTTGTTTGGCTTGATCGTCACATTGAAGATTATTTATGTATATGCCCATAATCCTTGGAACGTTAATTTGTATTAATGTTTATCTATAACTGGCGTGTCAATGATATTAATGTGCCGCTCGATCGTTTGTTTTGAAACCAACTTTGTTGCTAACAACCCGTGGCAATGAGCTGGGGAACTCTGGCTTTGTATCACGCCGCGCGCTCAGTTCCACTGCACTTTGGTTTCGGCTCACAGCTGACGAAATCGGTGCATCGTATCCAAACGGAGAACGTAAATCGACGTTTAATTCAAAAACCTCAGCTCCCAACTGCAATGGAAACTATACTATCATAACTTTGATTATTCTAAAAACGAACCGGAAGTTGTAACGTGTAAGAAAACCAGCGCCGTGGTATTGTCTGCCAGGGCTATATACTGAGCGGAGACCTTTTTCGTGCATACATTTTTACAATTCTAATGTTATTTCTTTTTTTTTCCTATAACGTAATGCGCCGAACAAATCTTTCTTTCTTTCTTTCTTTCTTTCATCTAACGTCTTTTACAAGACTATACATTTACACGTAATACACGTGATTCCTTCTAAAGAGTTTTTGGAAAACGTTATTTCGGAATGCTGCGATGTAGCAGCTTCATTACCATTGTTTAATGAAGTTTTTTTTACGGATTTCATCGCGTCCTTAATTCAAGACTTTGGAAAACCTTAAAGAATCCATGTTAATTCTTCTTAAGTTTAGTTTTCAAATAAACATAGTGAATAACGCAAGGCTTTCAACCGATCTTAAATTTTTTTTAGGAAAAAGGAGGCTTTCGCAACATCAGACGAGTTACAAATGCATTGCCCGCCTTTGAGATAGGAATAGATTCTCTTTTGGAGACCCCTAGGGCTAGGTCATATCGGCCTGCCACTCACAACTGATCCCACAAATGTATCGTGCGTGGCAGCAAAATTGTGATGGCACCGGTGGTATTCGGCTGGTCTTAGTGGCAAATCTGATCACTCAAGGTCATATTGGTTCCGATATATGATAATTGCCATTCTCACAAATTCACGGTTTCTGTTTTAAGTGTTCTCCGAATTTACTGTACATTACTTAATACGTACAGCAAAAACTTTGTATCCCTTTTTACGAAAATTTTACGACGGAGTAGTATGACATTTCCCACATTTATAGTTTTGTATAGAGGAGTGCAGATATAAAAAATACATTAAATCAATATAGAAAACATTAAGCACAGTCCCATGTATTTAACACGCATATATGATCTTTTGTTTATTGTGTATTGTATTTGAGAATAGGTTAATATTGTTCAAACTGATAATTTTAATTAATTATGGTCGAATTTCGAGCACTGGGCGATCACAGGTTAAAATAAGTGGGCCTTTTTAAAGCCTCAATCTTACGATCATTGAAGTATGAAGATACGACCTTTGAGTTGTTGTTTTGTAATCGAGCTTTGCGCTCAAAATTTTGAACTCAAGAGCGTTTCCTTTTCCGAAACGCTCAGGGCCTTACTGTCGATAGGTCACGTAGAGACTACGCCTCGATTGCAGCGTGAATTTGTTGTTCTTAGCAGTCCCGTTTTTGGTCAATTCGTTTTAATCTAAATAAAGAGAAAGAGTGTTCGAAACCTACTGAATTTCTTCCCTTACCCATGTCATAACTTTTTCTAATTTAATTGTTTGCAAAAATGTACCTGGAATTACTATACAATTTAACGTAAATAGAACGATACGGATAACGTTTTTAGGGTAGCTATTTAAATAAATATGCTATAATTAACTAGTTTTTAAAATAATCAATATCTGAATTTCGTTTTAAATAACTGTTTTTTTAAGAGAAGTTTTTTTTGAGAAGTAAGTGACATTATTTATTAAGGTGCCGATAAAAACTGTTCGTCATATAATTAAAACAGAAGGCTACTATTCTGATGTTTCTGGAATCATATCCCTTCAGAATGACTCACACGGTGGCTTCGTAATTATTGATTTTTGAAGTTATTCTTCTTTGGGCGCTTTTGGAAGAAATTATGAGAGATAAATCTTTACGATGGGCGCGAGCACTGACAGTGAAAAAGTGACAAGATGAAATTGGTCACAAAGCGACCACCTTCGGCCTACTTCACTATATTACCATGGCAACCAATGACAACTTTTTGACATTCACCTATAATTCTAAGTCCATTTAATGTCTTTTCAAAAACAAAGAGTGCTGGCACATGGCATGCAATTTTTAGCTATTTTACTTTTGTTACGTTAAAGAATTATAACTTCTTACATGCGTACAATTTAGTGGTGTGTATTTAAAAGAACAATGCTGTAAGAGAGAAGAATAGTTTATTTTATTACGTATGGAAATGCATACAATGGGAAGTTGAAAACGAATCCTATTACATTGCGGTGATTTGATTGAGTCACGAAGATTATTACCAAGGCACTCATACCTTAGTTATTATAACTTATTCTTTATTATTTCCACCAAGTAATATCATAATCACACTTGTGTTAAACTACGTAGAGGCTCATACGTATGTATGACCATGATGCAGGTTTATCATTTATATTTTATCATGATTTCCATTTCATTTCATTATGTATGATATTCAAAATAAAGAAAATTACACCCATGTTTGCACGGAGGCGGTTGCATTGCTGAACGAGCATTTTGGATCGGACCAACGACCGAAACTCTTATCACCTCCCACTAAATCATTGAGGTTTTTTGTCATAAACACGATAAAACTTAGTTATTATCAATTGATTACACGGTATCATTAGTGAATGACACAATAACTCAATACCCTTGCTACCGAGATTGTGTACGACAACATCTCGACCACTGAGCAACTGGGACTCTTACGGATGACTCGATTTGGTAAATAGTTCATTCCGCGACGATTCGGCGGGAATATGATTGACGCGTCGAGCTGGGGTCTACCTACACGGTTTCTTACTAAATTGAGGATGTACGCCGTACGTGACGAAACTCCTGACGTAGTATTCTTCAACGCTTATTATAAATTGTGTCCCCGTATCACTTATATCGCTTACCATACCATAGACATTTTTAACGATAGTATAGACAAGTTTAAGAGAAATCTGTCCACTTACAGTTTTTTTTTTATTTAATTAGAGTAAATTTCTTCTTGGTCTCTACTGTATTTATTGTTATTTTGTTAAAAATGCGGTTATTTTCTGTTTTTGTCAACTATTGTATTAATTCTTTGTTAGCATTTAACATACTTCAATTATTATTATTTTTTTTTAGTAGTTGTGTCGTTTCACCTGTAATTGAGATACCATTTAGTTTAAGATACTATGTACTTATTTATGTTTTAAGCTTGTTTTGATGAATTGGTGAGTTTTCTGGGGTTTCCAAGATGCTGTGCAAATTATGGGCATTATAGTGTATGACCTAGTATTAATACCTGTCGTAGGTAGTGTAATAATGTGTACTATCCATACTTATATTATAAATGCGAAAGTAACTCACGCCAAAACTACTGAACTGATTTAAATGAATTTTGGTACACAGATAGTCTAGAGCCCGAGAAAGGGCAAAGGCTATTTTTTGGCTATTTTTAAAAAAAATATATTTGTAGTTTTTAAATAAAGATATTTCTTTAAGGACTTCAATGCGAGCGAAGCCGTGGGCGGTAGCTAGTATTTAATATGTTGGCCCTTTTAGTTTCGTCGAAAACTTACCACGAAGACCTATCACACTTCTGTACAAGCTTTACTGAGCTTGCCCAGTGTTTTAAAGGCATGTTTAATGGATGACTCTACATCTATAATCCCTGCTTCGGGAATCGCTCAAGCCTTTGTTTTATTTCGTTACAGGCCACGAGAACTGTACGTTCCACCATGACCTTGAGCTGGATCACAGGCCTCCGACCAGGGAGGCGCTTCTGCCAGACATGGCCAACTCCTACAGACTACTACTCACAGGTAATTTTAAAAAGTAAAGTAAAGTATCAGCCTATACATGTCCCACTGCTGGGCAAGGGCCTCCTATGTACAGAGGGTATCAGGGCATACCACGCGGTCCACCACGCGGCCCCACTGCAGATTGGCGTACTTCACATATGTTCGAAATATTTTTTTATTATTATTTCGAAAATATGGCCCATGTAGTTGTCGTTGTTAATTTTTGTCAGACAATTGTATTCGAACCCGTGACCTGCAGCGCCTGAACCGTGCGTTTTGTTTCAAAACGGTGTAAACAGCACACAATATTTCTTAAGCATTTACACGCAAGTTTCTTGCCTGTATATACAATTAAATTGAAGCAATAAATGAGTAGCATTGTCTAAACAGCACATAACATTCTTGACTGTTGAACAAGACTCTTCAAGTTTTGTTTCAAAACTTTCCTTGGTGTAAACCCCACAATAATTTCTTAAGCAATTCTTGTATTCGATTGCATTCCCAAAAATTAGTGCAATGATGCCGGTTCTAAGACTAAGACAGGCTTATTTTCCATTGAAATCCGGTCGGTGTGTCCACAATGCGTTGCGAGTTTCATCGCGATCTCCCATCGAATGCCGTGTTTTCTGTCAACCTTTTTGCTATTTGGGCGGTGGTAATCACTTAAAATCAGGTGAACCGCCTATTATTGTCTCTTTCTTACAATGAAAAGAAAAAATTAATGCACACCTCAAATCTTTTTATTTTTAATCAATTTTTAACAATGACCCAGTTTCTAGTAATTTATAAAATTCATGCTTTTTCTTTTTCAAAGATAACATTTTAGATATTATGTTTCTTTTGTCTAGAAATTAAGTCTGTTTTATAGTGTGCGATATATTTTCACAACGTTAAGATTAAGTTAAACCTATTTACATATCAGTGTTCTGTATGTATTTAGTTGGTAAGCCTTAATAAAAGAAATAAAAAAACTTCCAGATATTAATGACTGACTCCAATCCTTTCCAGGTTTGGGCGAGGATCCCGAGAGGCAGGGCTTATTAAAGACCCCAGAGAGGGCGGCAAAAGCCATGCTGTTCTTCACAAAGGGCTACGACCAGAGCTTGGAAGGTGATTATCACTACAAATCATCGCATTATGTTAATAGCTGAAGGAAGTAAATGAGAGTTTGGTTGAACGTTAATATCATTCAATGCTACTCATTATGAGTAGGGGGAGTAAAAGCTTGCTAAGAAAGTGTGTACTTTTCACTAAACTTATTTTTTTTATATACAAACAACGATACAAGTACATTTTAATTCGTACATATGAGTCATCCTATGTATTTGTTCTTGATAATCAGTAGTCTTAATATTGACGACTGGAAAACTTAAATTTCACAAATTTCGCAATAAATGTCCTCGAAGTTGTTTGCGTAAAAGAAAGAGAATTCACAAAAATGCTCAACGTAATTTCAAGGCAGAATGAACATAGCGACATCTATTGTTGTTTGGAAGCAATACGAGATAGATGTCGCCTGTAACGTGTTATTTTTCAGACATTTTAAAGCTGTTCACTTTAACCAATTTCTAATTCAATCAATTGAATTCAAAATTGTTAGATTGAAAAAAAAAAAACTTCATATCAGTTTTGATCGCTACATGAAAATCTGCCTGCCTCTCTTGAAAAAAGAAAAGAAATTTAACCAATTCGTTTAATGTATTGTGTTAAATCGTGACGTGCTCGATAGATGGCGCTTATCTTAAAAAAATCGATGAAATAAAACCTTTCGAATTTCGAATATTGAACCGTTGAATTATCAATTCCTCCAGAGGTGCTGAACAACGCAATCTTCGACGAGGACACGGATGAGATGGTGGTGGTCAAGGACATCGAAATGTTCTCCATGTGCGAGCACCATTTGGTGCCGTTCTACGGGAAGGTGTCCATCGGCTACCTTCCGCAGGGCAAGATCCTCGGGCTGAGCAAGCTGGCCAGGTAGCTAACAATCTCCCTGATTTCGTAATGTATTTTGTATTAATGTGTATAGTAAAAAATCCTAAAGTAAGGACAACGTTTTAAAAAAAAAAATCTTTTTTATACTTGCACCAATACTACGTTATAAACAGTTGATTCATATTGTTTAATATTTTAAAGTACTAAATGCTTTATTGGAGCATATTGCTGTAGTGTTTGGGATGTCATAGTTATATACATAGATATAATTTTACTTAACAAGGTATTTATTAAAATGTGATATTTTAAAAATAAATGGCGTGTCACCCGGAAGATGGCGTTTCCAATCCACTGCGCCGAAAGTTTTTGTCCGTTTATTTATACTCATTTTACGTTAAAGTAATATAAAATAAAAAAATAATCGTTAATACATTTTTTAATTTAGATATTGTGGTTATATGTCTGAATGACATTATATCCGAACAAAGATGTTTGCCTCATTGGTGGTAGTGTGTATAGAAAATTTGTTGACGGGAAAATCCATTTGATGACTCCGTGGTCAAGTTGGAAATGTATTTAGATCTGGGTGATTATCTTAACTTACATTTGCAAAACTTCTTCACAACGCATGATAATGCTATTCTACAGTAAGGGAAATTTTATAAAGGAAAGACGCAAAAAATAAACAAGCAAATAAAAAGAATAAAGGCACCTTCAAAGCAAGAATGAGAGCGCCTTTATTCTTTTTTTTAACTTCTCCAAATGACGTTATTGATATATAGATAACTAGCTTTCTGCCCGCGGCTTCGCTCGCGTTGAAGCCTGTCGCGTTGTAGTTTTTAATGATATGTATATTTTTTAAAGAGAGATATTTTCAACCCTTTAGAACTTTTTTTCCTATTAAAAAAATTCCTATGTCCTTTCTCATGCTCTAGACTGTCTGTGTACCAAATTTAATTTAAATCGGTTCAGTAGTTTTAGCGTGAAAGCGACAGACAGACAGAGTTAGAAAGTAACAGCCTATACATGTCCCACTGCTGGGCAAAGGCCTCCTCTATAGAGAGGGTATCAGGGCATAGTCCACCACGCGGCCCCACTGCGGATTGGCGGACTTCACATATCTTCGAAATATATATTTTTTTTTGTTATTATTTCGAAAATATGCAGGTTTCCTCACGATGTTTTCCTTCACCGCGGAGCACGTGATAAGTCAGCACTTAAAGTTAAAAACTTCATTGGTGCCGGCACCGGGGATCGAACTCAGGTTGCTCGAGTATATTGAATTAAAGGCGAGCGCCCGGACACTGGGCTACCACGGCTCTACAGACAGAGTTACTTTCGCATTTATAAGATTAGTATGGAAATATGGATTGTCATCGAGTGCAGCGACTCGTAATGAGGTAAAATAGGGCTCTCGCTTAGTGAGCACCCGGCCAGTTCTCAAAGACACCTCGGCTTCTGCTAATCGTTCGGGGTTCTGCAGGATCGTGGAGATCTTCTCTCGCCGGCTGCAGGTCCAGGAGCGGCTGACCAAGCAGATAGCCATCGCCGTGACGCAGGCGGTCAGACCAGCCGGCGTCGCCGTCGTCATTGAGGGAGTGTAAGTATCCTATTTTAATCTAATATATAAAATTGTTGCATATCGGCATATAAATTGTGAAATTTTGTGTGCTTATCGGCCAGGGTAGAGAATCGGACAACATCTATTTTTCATCCCCCTAAATGTTAAGGGTGGTCCACTCCAGACATTTTTTTCTACCCTACAAATAATTTATATGGCAAAACAACGTTTGCCGGGTCAGCTAGTATTAAATAATAATTTGAAGACCCGAATGGCGTGTCCCCTGCGCCAGAGGGTTTGGGTTCGACCCCCACTACTGGAAAAATATTGTGTGATGAACATAGTGTTTTTCTGGTGTCTGGTTGTTTATATATATATATATATATATATATATATATATATATATATATATATAATAAATATATATATATATGTATATATTTACAGAAGAAAAGTATGTTTAAGTATGTTTTTCAGTTATCTTGTACGCATAGTACAAGCGTTGCTTAGTTTGGGACTAGAAAACGTTGTGTAAGAAAAAAAATATATCATGACACAATTTTACGCAACGTTCTTAGATTTCAACGTTTCTTAATTAACCTCATTAGACTCCATTTTTAATGTGAAGTCAGTCAAATTTGGCCGCTTTGCAACCGACTGCATCATGTCGCTTTCACTCTCATAGTTTTTTTCCTAACGCGCCTAGAAAATAATGTCTTTAGAATAATGTACCAGATTTGTGTTATAATCAGTAGGTATTGTGTTATTGTCCTTAAATTAATGTACCCGCTTTGTGTTAATCTTAGTCTAGTTTGTTAGTTATAATTAAAATTTTTGGTATGTACCGAAAATCGGGAAATCGTACCGAGTACATACCTATTTGGTTTCATGTCTTAGATACGTTCTTTTAATTGTTACCATAACTGTGTTTGTTGTTTTATTTATTTATTTATAAAAGGTACACCAAAAACATGTTCAAGGTACAATAAAAGGTTAGAAGTACACATAATTAAAAAAATTAACATATGAACACATCAATAACAGGCGTACACATCTTTCACGAATAATAAATAGATACGTGCTGTATAAGAAACTAATATCGAAACTATAAAATAAGTTGTTGAAACTTAGTCAATAAATAAATACTCAAATATTCAAAAGTGTGACTTCAACGAAATAATTTCAACCGGCAGGCATATGTGCATGGTGATGCGGGGCGTCCAGAAGATCAACAGCAAGACGGTCACCTCTACCATGCTCGGCGTGTTCCGGGACGACCCTAAGACCAGGGAGGAGTTCCTCAACCTGGTTCACTCCAAGTGAGGCTGGACCAGCGACCGCTTGGATTACCTTCGTCATAGAAATGTTATGGATTCGCTTGTCCCTTGAAATCTACTTAGATTTCTTACTTCAGTTTTTGTGTTAACAATGTTGAGGTTTTAAGTACAGTCGCTGTTTCGAGTACGGTTTTTGTTTAAATAATAAGTTTCGTTTTTAATACCAATTAATAGTGACCGGAAAGAGATGTCGGGCCGATACCAGTTTTAGGTTATCTCTTTCAAGTGTTACTTGTTTGAAAAGCACCAGTTAGCGTTTATTCTGACATCTTGCGTTTTCCCGCGCTTTTTAATGTCAACCTACAGATAGACGTAGATATCTATAATGTTTCTATGAATGAATTTTTGTTGTGTTCACCGAGCTGTCGAATTATTTGTCCGTTAAATTTATCGCTTATTTTGAATTTAATTAGTTTGCAAATTGTAAAGTTTTTTTTTTAAACTTAGTTTATATAATTAGTGTACAAATTCTATTATAATTAGATGATACGATCGACGCACAGTTCCGTTGTAACCCTTTTTCGTGCGTAACACGTATAGTTTAATTAATTGAATGTATATCTTTTATTTTTATTTTTTAAATATAGAAACAATACGCAGTATTGTGATACGTTCCTTTGTTTAATTATTTTATTCACTATGTCACTTTCGAACTGTAGCCTAATAATTGTTTTAAAAAGCGTTCAGCTTTCATTTTCATTTGTTTTTTTTTTACTTTATTTACGACCTAAATATGTATGCATGTCTATGCGTGTACTAGTTGGTTCATACGTTTTATTACGCGAGAGACAATAAGCTAGATTTAGTTTACACGATCGATGAATTGTACGACAAACAATTGCCCATGTCGTAAAGTTTCTCGAACGTGTTGTCGAAGTCGTTCAGTAAAAGTTCGGCTCTCTTTATTTTTCAATGTTTCTTCTTTTGTTAAATTGTAATTGTTGAGGACAGAGTACAGATATTTTTAAAAGAACCACAGAGTAAAAATCTCGAGCAGTCGATGGCTGATGCTCGACATTTTTGCCAGTTTGTTTTGGGCATCGGGTTTTCTTGAACCGTAATTGTGATGCCGTTAAATGTTGCCTTATACGTGGACATATATAAATATACGTTTTACATGATCATTCGATGTTATATATACCAACTGCGTGATTGAGACGATTTTATTTTATAAATAAAGGTTTATATTTTAAGTTATTTAAGCTGTTTTATTTTATGCTATGAATTTGCATTACATTTACCATTTGTGCTAAGGGAAATTATATATTTTGTCAAAGTAAAGCCACTAAACTTCATACAACAACATACTATATTTTAAGATACACAATTTAAAGGGAGAGCCCTCAGTACTAAAACCAGATTACTTTTAACTTTTTTTATGTGAAAAGTTGCCAAGCGCGCAGACGGTTCACCTGATGTTAAGTGAATACCGCCGCCCATGGACATCTGCTACAACCGAGGATTGCGGATGCGTTGACAACCTTTTGAATATTGGGCTCCGCCACCTCACTCACCAGACGAAACGCGAAAGTATCATATTCCCACTTTACGCCGGTCTTCTGTGAGGTCGTGGTACTTACCCGGACGGGCCTGCCCATTCGTGCAACAGCCAATTCGGCTGCTGCGTGGCCGTACCACGGTAAATAACTAAGGCTATAAAATAATCATAAGCAAGTTTTTTCTCCCCTATATCAACAAAAACTAAAAACAGGATAAAAATATACAAGTGGGGCCCCATACAACCGCCTTTTTTTATGCCATTTTTATAGGCACTGAACCCTACGTGCGCGCGTCCGAATCCCACTTGGCCGGGTTTTTTAATGTTCTTGTAGAAATATATACAAGTCAACGAGGCTTTCATACTAAATATTGTGAATTAAGCCCTAATGCATTGCAGTGTCTTTCCATTCCAATTAATGATGGCTTACATTAAAAAAGGCCTATTAAATGGGTTAACCGTTTAACAAGCGATAAAGCCAAATGGACGTTGATTGTTAATTATTTTGAATTTATTAATTATTTCGTGTGTAAATAAAACAAAAAAAAAACTACAATGGTTCGACAATTTCTTTTCTTAAATGCTGCTTTGATGGAATTGATGTTGCTATTGCAAGTTAATTTTCTGCGTCCCTTTTTCTTTCTCCTGATAGGATCTTTATATAAAAAATATCTTCTCTACTCAGTATAAAACAAAGTCGTCCCGCTGTCTGTCTGTTCCTATGTATGCTTAGATCTTTAAAACTACGCAACGGATCTTGATGCGGTTTTCTTTACTAGATAAAGTGATTCAAGAGGAAGGTTTACCTGTATAATACATTGTACCCATGCGAAGCCGGGGTGGGTCGCTAGTCTTATATAAAAATCTATATGAAAATTTAGCTTCTGTATGTTTATGTCCCCAATACCCATAAACTAACCGATGCATTGTATTGGTATTTGTTCAAAGCATAGCTATTGAATAGGAGAGTGTTTTATATACTTTTTATTCCGAAGTACACACGGGAACTAAAAAAGTGTATTATCATTTGATAAAATTATTTTATATTAGAAAAGAAGAACTTCAAATTGAACGTCAGTCACTAATTCATAAAAAACCGAGCTAAGTGCGAGTCGGATTTACGCAAGAAGGGTTCCTGCGTGCGTGAGTGAAGGCACAAATTTTTGAAAATTTCAACTGTCTAACTGTCACGGTTCATGAGATACAGCCTGGTAACAGACGGACAGACAGACAAACAAACAGCGGAGTCTTAGTAATAGAATCCCGTTTTACCCTTTGGAACCCTAAAAATGTTTTTTCACACGAATGATGCCAATAAAGTATTGGTTATTTTAAGTTATAATAACTTATACAAAACGTTATATACTTTTTTGCTAAACTTAAAGGTAAATAAGTTTTTACACTCTGCGTCATCGTCGCTTAATTAATTACCAAATAAAATAAAATTATATACAGAATATAAATTATTTAGAGACTTCATCATCCCTTTTCACCATCAGATCCTTAACTTTAAGCGATACCCAAATAAAATTAATTGCTAGTGTCGTTTTCACCACCGCTAAGTGTCAACTAAAGTCTTAAGCGGTGGTGAAAACGAAACTAGTACTTAATTTTTTAAGTGTCCCTTAAAGTTAGGGATCAATGGTGAAAACGGCCATAAATCATCCTTGATTTGTTTTTAATCGGATTGGAAGTTTGTATGTAATTGTGTCTTAGCAAATTTAGTACGAATATTCTTACTTATAATTCCTCATTTTTGAAATAACACCCCGATAGAATAAGATAATTCTCTGTTATAAAAACAACCCGATCTGGAGCAATTGTCTATAGTTCTATAAAAATCCTTGTTTCGTGGGAGTTGAACCCACGACCGGCACCGAATACTTTAATCAAAGTATATAAAATTATGTATAAAAGTAAAGTAACAGCCTATACATGTCCCACTGCTGGACATAGGCCTCCTCTATACAGAGGGAATCAGGGCATAGTCCACCACTGCGGATTGGCGGACTTCACATATCTTCGATTTTTTTTATTATTTCGAATATTTGCAGGTTTCCTCACAATGTTTTCCTTCACAGCGGAGCACGTGAAAAGTCAGCACTTAAAGTTAAAAACTTCATTGGTGCCGGCACCGGGGATCGAACTCAGGTTGCTCGAGTATATTGAATTAAAGGTTAGTGCCCGGACACTGAGCTATCACGGCTCATAATTATGTATAAATGCATATATATTATCCGTTCGGTAAATTGACGTGTACGTATTCACACGTCAATTTAACGAAGATAAGTAATCAGAGAAATAACAGTTTTACTATAGGCTAATTTGAACTCAGGATTTGCGGTTACGATAGCCATTAACATCTGCACTATTAGCGCTTCGACAAGAATTATCATCAACCAATTTGTTTAATATCATGTGGGGTTTAACGACGTACGCAATTAACAGTGATTTACAAGCATAGTCTGAATGACACCTTATTCGATGGGCATAGCTATGAATTTTCATCACCGGGGTAACGGGGGACGATTTTATATCGATTCGGCTATCGGTTAGGTTTTCAAGTATATATAATTCGGTTGCCGACACAGATGCATCATTCTGTCCGGATCTCAAATAGGTGAGTAGAGTTTTATACAATACGAGGTCATCGATATATCTTCAGATTCAAAACTGTCCTGATCTCAGTATATTCATATACCCATTCCAAGTGCTCGATTACATTACCTAAAGAACTCATGTGAATGTATTCCCGTTCAGCTACACGATATCTGTCTGTCAATGTTCAAAGTTTTAAAATACTGTCATCTTTTGATTGTTACGTGGTAGATACGGTATAATATATCACCGAATGCCTTCAGTTCCATTATTTCCAAAAATTAATTCGGTTACGAAAATAGAAGGCAAATCCCAAGTTCTCTTGATTTAACAAATTGCTTATACAGTTAAATATGTCTACTGTATCTACAAGAAAAATTACTTCATTCATATGATTTTTTTACCAGAGACTGTTGGATATCACGGATTTCATCTTTTTGACATGTTTTTTTCAAACGTTTTGTCTCTTTCGTATTCCATTACTGACTCACGTTGGTTATGCCCACTTTGTGACCTAACATATTTTCTTAACTTCACTGATTAATGTCATTTGCGTTTAAAGAAGCAGCGATGCAGCTACCGACGTCCATAGCTTTCGCCCTGCTAGTGGGGCTCGCTAGCGCGGCGCCCGTCTTCGAAAAGGACAGCTCCAAGATCCTGGTCACCAAAGATTTCTTCCCGGAATCCCTCGCCATCTACTCAAGCGAACATGACATCGTCAACATGTACGTGCCGATCAACGGTTTAAACTTTAAAAAGGACGACGACGAGTCGGAGGAGGAAAGGAAGGTGCTTCTCTTCTTCGTGGAGGCCGATCAGGACGAATACGGCAATAGGGACTATCGCGGCCTGTACGTCTTCAAGGACGGCGTGCCTAAGAAGCTGCTAGAAGGCGGGCGGGACGCTGCCGCTGCGAACGACTACGAAAAAGACGTGTACTTAGCAGCGCACGACGGTATCTACTGGTACAACTACGAGGAGAACGTCGCCGAGAAATACGGCTCCATTACGGACAGCATCATCGGCATAGCGAAAGAAACCGACACCGATGTCATATATATACTCACAGAGGACAAGAAAGTGTACAGAGTAACGGAAGACGGCAACAAGAAGGAGTGGATCGAAGAGATCGGCGAAGCGGAGCAGATCATACTAGACTACGAGAACAACCTGTACTACTACGGCTCCGATAAGCAGCCGTATGTTTACAACGAGGACGGCGTGAAGAAGATCGAGGGCGCGCCAATAGGAGCTAAAAAGGTGCAGCTTCTTAAGCCGCCGCTGTACTCGGAAAACGTGGTGCCTTTCGTAGCAGACGGGCAGAGCTACGTGATCTACGCGGACGGCTACGCCGAAGAGTTCGACCTGGAGTTCGAACCGGACGCGATCCCGACCGCATACGCGATGGAGGCGACTCTGATGCAATACTTCGCTATCGACAAGACAATCTACGAGTTCGACCTCGCAGAAATGATGGTGGACGGGATCTACGACGTAATTGAAGAGATCCTTGAGAGCTACTTGGAGATAATCAAAGAGATTCTCGCCTTGGACGTTTTCAACTTCAATTAAACTGGCTACTTTGATAAATAAAAGGAGTGTGTCATGTTTATTTAGTTTTTTTTTAATTGATTTGATCTTGTTTAAATTCGATATCCTGATAATTCGTAGCAAAATAGAGAGAGAAACGAGTATAGAGTGTCTTTATTTTGTTACGAATTTCACTTGGACATACCAAACCATTTCAACTAACTTATTAACAAAAAATCTAACATCCTTGCTCTACATACTTATACTGTAAAAAATAATCGATATAATTAAATAATTTCGCATCCATCTCTCACTGCGGGAGAAACTAAGTACAATAAAATATTTCCAAGTATTTGTAACATTTTTAAAAGATCACTTTAAACGTACATAAAATACGTCGCATTCATAACTGAAACGCGTCTAAAGTACATATATTCATGTGATATTAAAATGTATCAAGTTAATATCAAGTAGTATCAATAATTTCAGACATATCATAAATACATAAGCTCTATAACAGCCTCCTACTGAGGCCGTACTCTTCATAACAAATGAATTGCAACATAACTTTCTCGTATACTTATTTTGTATGAGATTTACAAAAGTCATAGTATAAAAAAATGCCTTGAAAACTATGTTAGGCCTAAAGAATTTAAAAGTTCACTGTGTGAAACAGCTCTGTAAAACATCCATAACGGGAACTTAGCTTGGCTCACAGAAAGAGCATGTACCGAAATACGTTTCGTCACTTTTTATGGAATTCCCATACAACCAGTTTCCATTCTTTGAGCCCAACGGTAATTGTTTACAATAGCTGCGCGCGCGGTTTTTCATATATACATGTTTTTAATCGATAGAGGTGGAGAAATTTATATTTTGAGAAAAAAAATCTTATTATAAGTACTGTTTTGCGAGGCTAAAAAAAATAAAAATCGATCAAATCGTTTCGGAGGACTATGGCAACTAACACATACCTAACGAATCTAACCTATCAATTTGAAGTAATTAAGTGTTGAACCTAATTTATAAACTAAGGTTAAGTAGAAAGTTATTCATAAACTAAGGTTAGTTTATGAATAATATTTTTTAAATATCACCGTTTCCTCTTAAAACCATTAACAAAAATGATTTTTGTACGCAACGTAATGACGGATTTATGATTTATTGCAAGATTTAAAGATTTTTTTTAATCTGAATAATTAAGTAGTAAGTAAAATCTAAAGTCTCCGTCTATTTTCACTTCGCGATTATTGTTTCGTTAATGTTTCGGTATCGATTAAAAATGTGTATACGATAAATGTGTGCACCTATTGTACACAATTACCTAAAGTGTTAATATGCATTCACTTATTATGCTTCCATCAACTTTGATTGTACAAATGATACAACAAACCTAGTACAACTCGAACACCTCATTGTCAATCAGACTAATGATCCAGAATAGAAGCCCAGTCTTTATAGACGCCGTCCTTAGCGGTCTCAATGATCGACATGATGATCTTGGTCACGTCACTGGGCCAATGCGAGACTACGCCGAACATCGACTTGAGAAGGACCTCCATTACGTTGAACTCGTAGATTTTTCCGTCGAGCGCCGCTACGAGGTACAGAGTCGCGTCTACGCTGTAGGCGGACGGCCGCTCCCGGATGTAGAAGTCCTTCTTCTCCGTGGTGCCGTTAGCGTAGAGGATGTAGAGGCCGCCGTCCGCGAAGAACGGTATGCACTTCTCCATAACGAAAGCGGGGCGTAGCAGCTTGATGTCCTTGAAGTCGTCGCCTACGGTGGTCACGTAGCTGATGTAGCTGCCGTCTTGGCGCGCGATGTGCGGCATCCGGTCGTCGCACGCTATGTAGTATATGTTGTTCGAAGTGTCCAGAACGAACTCGAGCGCGCAGATGATCGACTGGATCTTGGTCTTGACGGTGCCGTTCTTCTCTATCCTGTAGATCTTCCGCTCGGTGTTCAGAATGAAGATCGCGTCGGTGTCGTTGCCCTTTTGCAGCTGCAGTATGTCGTCGTCGAACGGTCCGTACTTCTTTGCGGAGAGGCTGTCCGCGTCGTACTTGTAGAGGCCGTCCCTCGCGCCGAAGTAGATCGCCTTACCGGCGCCGTAGTCCGCCGTAGAGTCCCTGCCGCCCTCGAGCAGCTCGTAGGCCGCGAGCCCCTCCAGCACGTAGATGCAGCTGCCGCCCTCTAAACGGGGGTCGGATATCGCGAAGAATATTGACGGCACGTCCGAGACACCGGCCGGCATGTACTTGGAGCTGTCGACGGGCACCAGTATGCTGGTGATGTTGAAGCTCGACGTGAAGATGACCTGCTCCTCTCTGAAGATCGACATGTAGGTGTTCGGCGAACGCGCGACGTCCCTGGAGACGGTACGGCACGCGAAGCAAAGCAACGTTGCTACGGCCAGCCGCATCTTTGTGGTACACCTGCAGAAATGTGATAAGACACGTCTTAAGACTAATGATGGATCATTTAGCGCAGTTTCGAAGTTTGGATACAGCGCAATGGGTCGTGTTGTCGATTCCCACCCCGGGGGAAGCATTTTTCTGTCTTACAAATCTTTCCAGCATCAATCATCCTAATTGGATTATTTATGCATGTAATGTATTATATGCAAATATTTGGATATATGGAGAAAACTGAGAACATTTTACTTATATATTCTTATGACTATCGCCCGGTTTATGAAACTTGATTAGTTAATTTGATACGATGATCAGTGTTTCAGAAACCGGGCGCATATATTATATTATCTGACCTTGTATTTTAATGCTTAATTCTGGATGTTCATTTAATGCAAAATTATTTAAATCGATGACATTATAAACATGTAAATAAATACATGTACAATCTTTTAATAAAATATTTTCGTTTTTTCCTTTGATCATTTTAGAGATAAAAAAAAACATTTTCAAAAAACATAACCGACTTCAAATATCTCATTAAGGAAACAACAAGGGGCGCTAATTAGGGTATCTGAAGGCGATGAGGACCATCATCTTGTCATTTGGGCTATTATTGCGCCCCATTTGGGGTAGACCCGCGAACAGATTACGATTACAGGCACGTAACAGCTTGACCAAAGAAAACACGAAGAAAACAAACGAATCCACGGGATGCGCTCAAGCTATTGCATAATTCTTGTTGTTCAACACACACCGTGCACGCGATGACCAGCGGTGCATGAACGGATAGATCGCGTAACGCTTCCACTGTTGGATCCGTCACGAGATATAATATTTTCTTATCTTTTATTCCATTATCGTAGTAAATTCTTTTAGATGATGTCAATTACTGTCATTGTGTCAATTACAAGTGTATTTTTTATGTGCGAAGGTGGCACGCGAGATGTGCGGATAACCGCCGCCCATGCACATTTTCTACACCCGTAGGGTTTAAGATGCCTTGTAATAAAGTGGGCTCCGGCTACCACACTCACCGCAGAAGTATAACACTTCCACTTCACGCCGGTCTTTTGCGAGATCGTGCCACTTCCCAGACCTACCATTTCATGCAACAGTGAACTGTTGCGTGGCCCTACCACAGTTTATAAATATAACAAATTATATTTTGTTAAACAAACTCTAGTCGGTGGATGCAGGTGGCTCAGAATTGTGCTTCGTGGCAGTCTGTTGGGGAGGCCTATGTTCCCGAGAAACGTTGGTGGATATACACCCACATCTGATGTGTCTGACATAGAGAAGTTACCGAAGTTTAATCACTATACGTACATATCACGGAACTATAGAATAACGTGGGGCAAATAAATATAATAGTAATTTTGTATTTACATAGAAGTATTTTATAAATATTAAAAACTGCCGTCGTGGTAGGGATAGGTTGACAAATATTTGTTGATTTAAACAATTATTGGCTAAATCAACAACAAATATGTGTGCGGTTTTGTGTTTATGTTTATTTTTATAATTTTTTTATTTTATGTTTTGTAGCAGTTTTACTGTAAATTTAGGATCAAACATTGTTTCGATGTTGTAGCATGTTGTGTACGCATATTTTTTGTCTGACTGTATGTAATCGTTTACCTAATTTAACTTTATTGTGATGTGTATGTTACTGTTTGCTGTCTTGTGTACCAAATAATTTATGATATTGTCGTATAACCAAACAGCAGATTCTGTTACATGGTTCAATGAAGCAATGGCAATGAGCAGACTTCCAAAAGAAAAAAACCACGACATAGCTGAAGACAAAAATAAGGTTGAAGAGTTAGAGTGCTTTTGCTTTTCGTCTAATGAGTAGGGTGAGGGGGGGAGTACGGGGGGGGGGATTTGCAGCCCACAGATGTTCATAGTATTGAGCTTTACCTATTACTTAACGTCAGGTGCACTGAAGTAATAATGAATACCATCTCAGTGGTCTATAAGGCTATGTGCTATTCTGCTTGTATATGATACATACTTAATACAAGAAAAACGAGGTTTGTATTACCTAGAAGTAAAATTGCTAAGTGCAAATTTTAAGACCGCGTCTAACTTTAGGTTCAAATCGTAAGTCAGTACGCAAAACTCGCAAAGCCAGGTGTTTTCAAAACGGTATCACCTTGGTATAGATATAAAAAAATATATAAAACATTGGAAACAGTTTCTAGAAAGCACTGCAAGGTGACAACTGGACACGAGTAGGGTGGGATAAATGCGATATCATGTACACAAAAACTAACACAGAATAAAAACTACGTATGGCACTGAGAAAAACTCACTCTCCGTAAATCCTAAGAATGTCGTCAACTTAGAAGTGCGATGACGTAGAATTAAAAATACTCAACAATTAAGCATAAACACTTAAATTAATTTAATAAATCAGGACCGACTACATACGCTATAGACAACTGAGATACACTAGAAATATAATATAAAAATAGGTCAAATATAATCCGTTGAGTCCCAACAGACAGTCTTATATTTGATTCTATCACTGAAGATCGAAAATGTGACTTTATTTTTTAACCTAATCCTGTTTTTTCACCTTATCTTGTTTTTCTGTATAAAAAAAGTCCAAATAAAGGGCTAAAATGTTAAGTTTGAGATATCGTCTTAACACTGACCGTAAAGTATACGCGCGCTGAAATACTTTCTCGACTTTTAACCAGCAATTGGAGCTGGTTCTTAAAGTCATTCAGGTTTTGTCAGATTTATTTAATTGCTTGTTTGTCGTTATATGCCAGGCACAATAGTGAAACAGTGATTTTGCTATGATAGAAATAAGAGAAATAAAATAATCCGAAGTTTGAACTCTTTAACGTAAAATGAATAGCAAATTTTGGAAAGAAAAAATATTTCAAACAACAGCGTGTTAACACGTTCGTAACGATAATATTACAACGATGCTATTGCGACTATAGAAAAGCAGCCGAAATCAAAATTCCGTTTGCAATGGAAACGTGTAAGGCTTACTTCCTTCCTTCCTAAAAAGCCAGTTATAAACCATCCGACAGTTCGTATACTCTTTACTACCGCCGCAAACAGACTGACAACTCATTTCTTACATTTAAACAGCTCAATGTATCATTGTATTTTCGTATAAACACAGAACATTTTAGTGAAATAACTAAGTTCAGCGTACATCGTCCCGGTTTGATAGGAGGTCGGTGATCCCGGGATTCTTTATAGTTCAAACTGGCCATATATGCCAGTTCTACTCGTGAGTTGACACGCGGCGCAAGCGATTGGATTATAAATTTATATACAGTCAATAATTGTGAGTAGTTTTCTATGTTCCACCATAAGCGATAACACGAAAAGAGAAAAATAACAATTTAATATTCATAACAAATAACATCTCATCATAATATTATCGTAATATATAAATAATAAATAAAAAACTTTCTTTAAACTAATTCGATTTTCAACAATTGTGATAAGATTTCGTTGTTCTGCTTTTTAACGACAAAAGAATATTAAAGTAAAAATCAGCTGATGTCATTAATCATCTCTCAGTCTCATCGTGATTTCACTTAATATTGTTTAAAGACAGACAATTTCCATTGTTCATTTTGCATTGTAACAAAGTGGTAAGTAAGTTTTAGTTTTAAAGCAATACTAGAATAAGAAATTATTATTCTAAACATAAGCTATTTATTCCAAAACACCTAATGTGGTCGAATTTTAATTTCATTACACGTTAATATACAATACACTTTTCTCAATAATACTCGAAAATCCGTATGAGTCGCTCTATAATGTTCCAAAGGGTAGCCAGTTTGAGCCAGTTCATCCATATTTTTGAAATTTAAACAAGTTACATTGTTATATTTTCGTACCTTACATAGATCTAACAATTGTTTCTTTACAGGCATCAAGAATGATTCCGTTTCTGTTGCTGCTCGCGCTATCGTCAGTGTGTGGCGACAACTGCTCGTATGTCTACGATGAGCTACACTACGCGAGGACCTCGATATTGACAATCAAGGGTCTGCCGACCAACCTAGCCTACAACCCGAACAGGAAAGACCTGCACTTCACGCTCATAGACCTGGAGTCGCTCCAAAGCGAGTCAATGCAGACGAAGATGGACCAGTACGTACTGAGGGATGGGGAGCCAATTAGGATAGAGGACGTGAACGGGCAGGCGGCGGCGGTAGACGCGAAGAACGACAAGGTATACATCGCAAGCGACGACGGCATTGGGCTGTTGAATGCCACAGACAAGGTACAGTTCGTAAGTCTGAAGGATGAGGATGTCGTTCAGCTATTCAAACCATCGAACGTCGACGACTTATACGCGGTGACTTATCCGGACAACGAAGTATTCGCCGTCGACCTCAAACGAAACGAGAAGCGGAAAGTGGAGTTCGTTCCGTGCGCTTACATAATAGCCGTGGACGCACAGGGGAACATATTTTACGAGTGCGACTCGAAGTACGTGAAGGTGCTGCTGAAGGGCTTCCGGGAGCCGATCGAGTTTGTGGGCATCGCGAAGAACTCGGCGAGGGCGCTCGCCGTGGACGAGAGCGACAGGGTGGTGCTGGCGGCGAACGACGGCCTGTACTGGCTGAGGCCGGACAGCGTGATCCCGAAGAAGCTGATGAGCTTGGATTACGTGCCGTCTGGGATCGCGTTCGACGGTGGCCACATATACCTGGCGACTAACGGGATAATCTACAAATACACCAACGAACAGTGCCAATGATGTTTGTCCGGAGAAAACGATCGCGTTTGCTGGATGCCCTTGTGTCGGGTCAACGATGAGGTGGAAATTGTGAATGCAATAAAATAATAGGTGAACTGGACGTTTTATATCATTCAAACGAATCCCGAGTTTATTTTGATTGTGGTAACGACAAGTGAATTTATAAAACACACGTTATGGTAACTGCTTATGAATTGTCTTCGTATATAAATCTTTTTATTGTCCATGATGTATTTATAATTCTAATCGTTAATCATGTCTAGACGTAACCATAACATTACTGCATTGTCTGCCGCGTTTACATCTGACTAGCGTCAATATAACCTACCTTAACATCAGCTGACAGGACAGGAACCATAGAGAAAAGATTAATATGGAGTATTTATGTATCATTCCTGTCCACTTCATCTATTTTGAAAAATTCTATTGCGTCAAATTTTTAAAAACTCTTCATTAACTTTTATCAAGATGAAGGAAACACAAGTTTAAGCGTGTACTTTTGTCTTTGAACATTTCTTAACCTAACAATATTTGTCTTACTAACCTAACAATATTTGTCTTACTACCAATGACGGACTAATCAGGAGACATGTGAGGTTTCATGCCTAAGATTATATATTAGTTAGGGTTATTGAACCCTAACTATAATTTAGTTGAAAAACAGTGGCAACGGATCAATGGCTTTCCCACAAGGTCAATTGTCATGGAATTATATGAGAAAAAAAAATTCTATTATTTAGTGACACAACACATAAAAGCTTTTGGCGTAGAATTCAGAAGCGTAATATAATTAGAAAAAGAACAACTCTAGAGAATGGTGCAAATAACTTTACTTTTTACTACTACTCTGTATATTAGGTACTGTCTGTTCTGTACTGCACAAAATATCGTATTAAATATCGTAATTATAATTATTAAGAGACTCGAGACTCAAGACATCTTAACCTAGATAAATACTCATTTGTACAGAGCTCAACGATAACCTCACTTGATCTTCACACAGACAAATATTATAATACACAATTAAATTGGAAAGTTTTCTTTAACCTAATAAAATAACATTTTGGTAAATATTAAGGTAATATTAATACCTCACCAATATCTCTCACATATTATAATTTATAACTACCCATTTCTTCGACCCTTCTGGGTTTGATTATAAGTTATAACATGCAAAAATTCGTAATTCAAACAAATTTAAAATAAACAATAATTTAAAATATTGTAAATTACTCAATACGTTAAATCGTAAATTATTGAAAAAATATATATATTTGCAAAAATTTGATAACCTAACCTACATTACACACAACATAACACACATTGATGATGACTCTGTGACGCAGTTTCCAAGGTATTGGCTTCAGCGTCGGGAGTCGTGGGTTCGATTCCCACACGGTACAACTGGTTGTGCGACCCACAGATAGTTGTTACGCATCTGGGTGTTTGTCCGCGTGAAATTTATGTTTGTAAAACGTGATTACAACACAGGATAATGTTATCCTAAAGTAAGGGCAATGTTTAAAAAAAAATAACCTAACCAAACAATAATAATAGTTCCTTATTTGCCATAACCAAAAAAAAAACAAAAAAAAAATACATAGAAAAAATATGAAAAAAAAAGATACAAAATTAACCTATAATACACAATAATATATAAATTTTATTTTGGCAAAAAGGTAATAAGCTCAGCGATTTCTAAGAATTTCTCAGTGCTGATTTTCAGCTTATCCCTTCATTATGACACATGTCTATTATTAAAATATAGCTAGCGCGGATTATTTATTTGAACATAATGAAAATAAAAGAGCAGTGAATAATATTGTGATAGCTCTATTCCGGGCGTTCGCTTTTAATTCAATACACTTGAACAACCTGAGTTCGATTTCCGGTGCCGACACCAATGAAATTTTTAACTATATATGCTGAATTATCGTGCTTAGCGGTTAAGCAAAGCATTGTGAGGAAACCTGCACATTTTCGAAATAATAACAAAAAAGAATTTCGAAGGTATGTGAGGTCCAATAATCCACACTAGGGTCGTGTGGAGGACTATGACCTCTGTACAGACTCTTCTGTACACACAAGGCCTGTGCCTTTGCCCAGCAGTGGGACGTTTATGAGCTGTTACTTAAGGATGCCGAAAAAATATCGATATATCGATATTGGCATACATTTCTTTTTTTTTCTACAACAGATTAAAAAGAAAATATCGATATATCGATATTTTATTTTCGACATATGTGCGAATGATCCAGAAACACTTTCCTTTCAACGTTTCCGTATGAATGATTGATTTATGGATCGAGATAGTTGAATCATTGCGGAAAGGGAAACGGTGGAATTTATCAATTTCGCATGACTCAACGCACGCGCAGACGGACAGGCACGCCATTGTTGTGTAAAAATTATTTATTTAATTAATTAATTTATTTATTTAGGATATGGAAGACTTACAGCTATTCAAACCTAACTGACCCTAATCTAGATGACAAACAGCCAATAACAAGCCTTCACTTATAGAAATATTATAGATGGAGAGCAGACAACTATAAATTAACTAACGTCTTATGAAAATTAAACATGTACAGAATTTCGTACCATTTAGTAAATCGAAATGGCTGGTCGTTGATTAAAAATATTTTCTGTTTTACAGGATCAACACATTATTATAAAATAAATTTTCTTTGCGGATTTTTAGAAGACGTTCTCGTAATGAAATAATAAAGTTACATACAGTACATATTTTTTTAAAACACAACTTCTATTCCCAAACTAAGCAAAGCTTGTATTGTAGGCACTAGGTAAACTACTAATAAACATACTTAAAATTACTTATCACTTGTAAATAAATAGATACTACAGATATACTATAAAAATCATATTTATCACACAACACTTTTCCAGTTGTGGGGATCGAACCCACACCCTCTGGCGCATGTGAGAAGCTCCATGTCCACTATGCCAATGGGGTCCTAATAGCGACAAGAAAAATGTTGTTACCATATTAGAGAGCAAGATCGCTTGACTAAGTAATTCTTCTCTTTAACATTATCACAGTGTAGTGAAGGTATTTGATGTCAATTCAATTAATCTTATACAGGGAGATTTTTTGAGAAGTGCCCAAATTTACATAGGACGTTCAGACTCGGTAATATAATCGTTTATTGAAATAAAAAACAAAGATTTTTTTTTCCAAAATAATGCCATTCTATAAAACAGAACGTGTTGACAATGCGGTAGTCATTCATAAAAACCTAAATTTTACTGAACACGAACTTGTGTGCGTGTTAGTAATGAATGATCGCGCGTAAAATAAATGAGTTGCGTATAAATCACGCACTTTTTGAGATAAGTTCAAATGAATGTAATTAATTACTTAAGAGTGATTTTAAATGTTTATCATTTTTTATATAACATTATTTATGTGTAGAATTTAATTAAAAAAAATGGATACACTTAGAAAAGCCACCCTGTATAGTAGCTAAAACTTGTCTCAGGGAATCGAATCTCCGACCAACAGCGTGAAAGAAAGACGTAACGGCTGATGTCATAACCGACTACTTAAAATGAAAGTAATCTGCTATTTGGATCTTTTTACCAGGAAGGAAGTGTTTAATTTTACTACAGGCAAGTTTTTCTGGGATGCACCATGCCTCGCGGTAGACTTAATTTAAACTAGCTCTGCACGCGACTCGGTCCGCGTAGAATTTCAAATAAGTTAAGTTTCTAAAATAAAAGTAGCCTAAGTTACTCCTTATTACATCAGCGATCTGGCAGTGAAAGTCCCGTCAAAATCGGTCCAACAGACATTAGTAAAAAGCGGTTATTTTAATATTACAAACGGACACTCCAATTTTTTTTATCTGTATATGTGTGTGTGATGTAAAATATATTTAAATACTCACCAAACACTTGACAAGATTTCCCTTCTCGATACACCTTCGAGATACAAATATCTAACGCCTAATGGCTGAAGATTGGTGGCTTAGTTATTGTTTTAGTTTAAATCGGTTACATCATTCTATACACACGCGATCGTCTAGACAGAATAGTGTGTACAGGGTGATTGAAACTTAAAAATCGATGAGGTTAGTTTTCGTAAATGTTGTGTTGCAAGTTTAATTTGGTTTTCTTTACTAGATTTGTTGTATCGTAACTCCATAAAAGATGTATTGGATTCTGTGGTATAAGACAAAGTTAGTTGATACTTGTATTTATTGAAATCCCTTTGGTTGTCCTCCTAGTGTAATTTGATGGGTTCCGGGATCTCTAGTGGAACCGGTCTTCTTCCGCACTACGCCTGACATCGTCCAGGGAGGGAGGGGCGTCTACCTAAGCGCCCGCCTACAGCTGTGACAATACGGGACCAGTCCGTATTGCCCTTATTCCTGGACTCACTTCACTCGGTAATCAGCGCCCACCCTGGTCATCCTTAAACCGACCCCATTTTAGTCATGTTGTACGACAGTAATTCGACATGCCTGCAACTACAAGGCAAATCTAGACACAGGCCCTGCATATACAACACATCCGTGACGTTGCAGTTTTGTTTGATGTAATTTAATCATAATTATCGTCCTCCCGCCCTTATCCCACTTATGTGGGGTCGGCAGAACATGTGAGTCATGTTGTAAGCGGTTTTAGCTATGTTTTTACGGCCGGCCTGACGTCAAACCTCCTTGGGAAACAAACCTGATCCGGAATTATCTGTGGTTCACACAAATACGTGTCCCGTGAGAATCGAACCCACGACACCCGACGCCGAAGCCGATAGCTTACCAACGGCGCAACCGAGTCATCGTTTGATGTAACTCAATCATTGATAATGTAGTAAGATACTTTAACGGAGCATTTGTATCCTGGATGTCGCTCTAGTAATCTAGATCCGGTTTTATTCATTGCCCCGAAGAAAGAGTACGTTGCCATGTTTATAAACTGCTTAGTACAATGGCGGGTGACGTTTTATAAGGTGTCTAGGAGAGCGGTCAAGGCGGTCACAACTACGTGAGGGAACCGGCACAGGTAAGAATTGTTCTGTAATTTAATACGATACTTAATGCCAAAGTTTGTAGACATTAAATTAAGATGTTTGCCCCTAAATACACATACGATCTGTTTCAATATTCTATGTACAGATAAATTTTGTTACTAGCAATAGGTATTTGACATTAGCTCCATAATGCTTACAGTAACCAAATATATCTGTAGATTGAATATTGAAATCAGCCGTTATTAGTTACGTACCATTCATGCAATTATCTGTGTACAAGGATAGGTAGTGTACGGTGGCTTTAATGTCTCTTTCTTCATCTACTATATACTTGTGTGTGTTAGGAGCATTGACGATAGTTGGCGCCGTTTTAGTGCAATGATTTTGGCGTGTGTCGTTTACATTTTTAAAATGTCATCGCATTAACTTATAATCGTAAATATGAGCGTAATTGTGGGTAGGTTGACATTTTGACAGTCAATGGATTGAGACCTTTATTGTCTGTGTAAATAAGTTAACATGTTTACCTTACGACTAACTGACATCGTCGGTAAAACAGTGTGAACTTCCCTTTGCTGATAACATAACAGTCGTCAATATCACGTAAACAGTAGACCTCTGCGGATAAAGTTGTTTACGATAAACTTATTTATCCTTTGACCTTAAACTGTTTTATGTCAAAATAACAGTCTCAGAAACAGCCACATTATTTAGCATCACTATATAGTATAAAATAAAGTGGTACCTCTGTCTGTCTGTTCCTATGTATGCTTAGATCTTTAAAACGCAACGGATCTTGATGCGGTTTTTTTACTAGATAAAGTGATTCAAGAGGAAGGTTTATATGTATAATACATTGCATCGGTGCGGCGCCGGGGCGGGTCGCTAGTAGTGAATATAATCCTGTTATTTTGCAATTGCTTCTTTCTTGTTTTTTTTAAATAATTAAAACGTAACTCCGTGAATACTTATTTATAATTTCGTTATAAGCTATATTTCGTTTTACCTAATTTGTCCAATAATGGAAAAGAAAACTGGAACTGACACTTGTGAAATATTAAATTTTTCTTTGGATCAACGTACTAGTAAAATAACAGAACTCCGCGCCACGTACAACGCCATTGAGGTATAGTAAGTAAGCTTGTACATAATATGTAGATACCTCACGACCACACTTACATCATAGTAAGCCGATAGCCGATCATGTTTGGATCGTACTGAATTCAAATTTTCGTAAGGTACTGAAGAGGCATGAGTAAATAGACCGCGAAGGAAAACAATATCCTTGGTGTCATTACAAACGCATGCGTAATTTCAAAATTATTGTATTCAAGTCATAGTATAGTCGGCATAATATTGTTTGATACATATCGTCAATGGTATAGGTTTTTACGACAGACTCGCCTGCCTAACGTAAATATTTTGGGAATGAACACCTAGATCCGGAACAATTACTTGTGGGTCGCACAAACACGGGTCCCGTGTGGGAATCGAACCCACGACACCCGGTGCCAACGCAAATAGCTTATCGACTACGCCAACGAGTCATCAAACATTCGTCCTAAATGAATCAAGCCTACGACGACGCCGCTGGTAAAGACATTTCTTTTAATATTGCTCATACCGTAGGATAACATTATCGCGTGTTGTTACGACGTTCTCATCACGTAGACAGACACACAGGAGCGAAACAATTATATGTGGTTCACATATATAGTTGTATCGTGTGCGAATCGAACCCACCGTAGAAGCCAATACCTTGGCAGCCTTGCACCACGGAGTCATTCATATGTTTTTTTTTTTAATTAAAAACATTGCCCTTCTTGTAGGATAACATCATCCTGGAATCCCCCCATCACTTTAAAGGAAGTTTTACAGATAAACTCCAAGCGGACAAACACCCAGATCCGAAACTTTTTTGGGTCACACAAATAGCTGTCCCGTGTGGGAATCGAACCCACGACTCTCGACGCCTAAGCCAATACCCTGGCACTGCGCCACGGAGTTATCCAATCAAAGGCTATATTCCATTCTCTACAATATTTGCCTTCGATTTCACAGATCTCAGCTTCCTCTGTCATGCGTCCACAATGCACATGAAGCGGTGCACCCTCGCTTTGCTCATCATCATCGCGGCCAGCCGCCAAACGGTCACCACGAACGGGAACAGCTGCGAGACCATCAAGATCGGGGCGAACTTCTACCGACGGCATCTCGTCGCGACGGTCGACGGGTACCCCACCGGCCTCGTCGTCGACCCAAGGACGGAGAACATGTTCTTCGTCCTCCACAAACGGAACTACACCAGAGGGGTTCACCTGCTGCGTCACGGCGCTTTGGGGGTGCACGAGCTGCCGATATCCGACGACCTGACCGGCCAGTGCATCGGCGTGGACGTCGCCAACAACATAATATACATCGGCACCAATCAAGGCCTCGCGGTGTACGACCACGCGAAGGGCGAAATAGCGGTCGAGAGGCCGATAGGCGACGACGACGTCCGCAAAATATTCTTCGACAGGAGCGACGGTGTGATGTACATAACTACTGGACCCCAACACGAGGTGTTCCGCTTCGTGAACGGGTCGGCGGCGGTGAAGAGGTTTGAGCGAGTGCCCAAGGCGTACAACTTCGTCCTGGACTCGAAGGGCAACGCGTTCTACGAGTACGTGGACGGGCGGCTGTACTTCTTCGCGGCGGACCTGTTCGAGCCCGTCCAGTACAAGGGCCTGACGAGGGAGCTGAAGTACATACTGCAGCTGAGCAACAACGATGAGGCAATAGTAGCGGTGAAGGGCTCGCTGTACCGACTGACGACCACCAAAATATTCCCCACCAAGATCGGGCAGCTCGGCTTCAAGATCACCGCGATGACGTTCGACCAGCGGAACAACATAGTAGTGGGGACGAAGGGCAAGATATACAGGTACAAGCCGGTCGACAACAGCGACCCCTGCCCACCTGACGATTACTTCATGTCGAGCATATAAAGCTCTGGTTAGGGTCCAACTTTATATGCGTTGAGTTACGCGGTCTCAGTTACGTTTTCAAATATATCATTATGTTTTTGGGAGTTGTTTCTTTTTTTCCTTTCGATGTAACGTCTCTTGTCCTAACGTCCACGGTGGATTGAATAAGAAAGCACGTTTGCTTGAGGAAGTGCCGCGGATGTAGACTTTTGGGTGCGGCCCGTTAGCAAAGACCTTTCAAGGTCAGTTTCGCGTCTTGAAGGTATGGAGGACATTCTCAATGTCACTAATCAATTAATACAAGATGAACCGCATACTTGTTTGCCACCTTCTGTTATTGAGAATAAAATTGTTAACTGTCACATTTTTAAACAATTATAATAATTAAAAATAAATAATAAGACTTTATGGCCTAACCAAACTGAACAAAAGAGAATGATAACATTAGAGGAAGTTTTAAGGTGACATCTGTATTTACTGCAACGAACTACAAACCGAAATCAAAAATTCCACAATCGTCAATATTACCAGCATAATATTTTTGTCCCATCTTCTCGATTTACATCTATTTTAAAGCCTTTCCGAAATTTTCTGTTCTAGCAACAATCACATTATGATTATTCAAAAAAATTGAATATTGACGAATATTTATAATAATAAAATTAATCAAACTCTAATTAGCAATGTATAGATAGTGTAAGAGAAAATTGTCCTCGCACATTCCTAATTATTAAATGCTGCTATTTTAATAGTGTTTGTTTAGTGTTTACTGAACTGAATATTAAAAAGGCCCCCAATTATATCTAAAATTTATTAAAATTTAGTCTCAAATATGACTGGTCTCTCTTGGCACCTTAGGTAAATTAAAGATAGTGCATTTTTACGTTAGTAACTCAAAGCACACCTAATTGACTTCTGGAATTTGAACCAATGACAGATAATCATAGGCCGAATAGAACCAACTATCATAAGGATCAAAAAAGGCATTAACGTGACTTGGAAGCTTATACATTCTTTTCTTCTGGTCAGTGAGCAGACCGCTCTTATCACGGTCAATAGCACATTAGCAACCTCACGGGTGCTGATGACGTCACCGCGACGGTCGCCTGATTATTTGATACTTCTTACACAACAAAATATGACATCGAGGAAGCCTCGTCACATGTACTTGTACAACTAAGATTTAACTTTCTTTCTCATTAAAAAATAAGATATGAACGGTACAAGTTATTTAAGTAAGACCTTTGCTAAAACGTTTCAGCATTAAAGTCATATCGCCACGTTTGGCTTATCTTGGAGTCATTAATACAAACTAGGTTTTACAAACGGCTTCGTCTGCGTTGTTTATTATGTTAACAATCTATTTTATCTAGCACATGTAGGTAATACTTAATAAAAAATGTTGCGTCTTTTACTAAAATTTCATTCGATGAAGATATCACAAAACTTTTTTAATATGAGGCCGTAATTGTGTAAAAGACAATACTTAAACGAATTAATTGAAATCAATTTTGTTCTCGTGATTCACTTTATTACTTTTCTCTTTAGTATTATTAAATCTTTCCGCTTTAGTAGTTACGAGATTTTTTTTAATGTTAGAAAATGGCAAGCGAGGCAGTTCACCTGATCCTAATTGATAACCGCCGCCCATTGACTAGGGAAATTCAGAGACAAATAAGAATGTATGTGTTATAAATGAAACTAATTTTATATCGATAAATATCGATAAATCCGTAAAAATTAGTTTCATTTATAATGTGTAATCGCGTAAATACAAGAAATTAAAATGTATGTGTTGTTCAAATAAATTTTGACTTCAAGGTTTGAGCAATGGTTCAATGGTTAATTTGCTAACTGCTATCGCGCGTCTTGTTGTGGCTTTTAAACCCACTCAGGACACGTAATTGTACACTCCGAAAATAGTTTTTCCGACTATGTTGTTGTCTTCGTGAACCTCCCGTGGGGCAGGAATTATTGCTAATGTTGGAATGTTTTAAAGAAAAGTTAGTTTTGCATCGACCTCATATGAAGATCAAATCAACGACCGATTTAAATTTACAGATCCCGGCAATCGAAGGAGATTTTACGTTTATATACAGAATTAATTTTTCTAAATAGCTTCCTTTTTGATTAAATAGCAAGGAGATATTTCAATAGCTATAAAATAATGGGTATAAATCATATAAGTACCTATTAGTAGTTTAAGCAAGAAATGAGCCAATGGAAATTCGTTTAATTACACATATCGCTTCAAGAAATCAGTTCGGATGCAGTTTGGTCCTAGGGCGAGAGGCCATCGACCGTATCGACCCCGAATTGGTATTCAGATAACTCTTCAGTTCTTCCAAAATGTCCGAAAGGAGGATCGTTAGGATGTTGTACTCGTAGATCTTCTTGTTGTAAGCGTAGTACTGGATCAACACCGCATCCACGCCGTAGGCTGACGGCCTCGCGTTGGGTTTGAAATCGAACCCTCCCTCCTCGCTGGTACCGTTAGCATATAAGATGTAAGCGACGTTGTCCGAAACGAACGGAACCCCGTCGTCTAGAATGAACGGTGGGTTCAACAGTCTGACCGACTTCGGATCGGCCGGGAGGCCTTGGATCTTCTTCGCGCCGTCTTTGATAACGTACGGCTGCAAATCGTCCCCGTAGAAATACAGATTGTTGGAGAAGTCCAAAACTATCTCTTTAGCGCCGGTCGCTTCCTCCACTTTCGTCCACTGCTGACCCTGATCCGTGACCTTGTAGAGGTGGCGCGAATCCGTCAGCGCGTATACAGCGTCGGTGTTGTTCTCCTTAGCGATAGAGATCACGCCTTCGCCGAACGTTCCGTACTTGACCGGCGCGGTGTCGTTGTACTTGTAAACGTAGATCCCATCGGAGGCGGCGAGGAACACCTCTTTGCTGTCATCGCTGGAGGCGGCGGCGTCACGTCCGTTTTCCAGGAGCTTCTGCGCTTTCCCACCGCGCAGCATGTACAGTCCTTTGTCCACTCTGCCGCCGGCCGCGTCCACATCCGCCTCGACGAAGAAGATGATCAGCTCATCGTCGTCGCTGGTGTCGTCGTCTTCTGAGTCATCGTCGAAGTTCATCGAGTTCAGCGGCACCAAGATGTCCACGATCTCGTGTTCGCCGCTGTACACGGCCAGCGATGATGGATAGAAGTCCTTAGTGATAGTCACGTGGTCGTTCTCACTGCTCTCTTTGCTTTCTGCGCTCTCTTTGCTTTCTACGCTATTGTCGGGCCTGGGAGCCGCGGCAACTAAGCCAATTAGAAGCAGAAGCGACAGCGCTCCGTACAGCTGCATCGTCCTCGTATCTGAAACAGGTTAAGTGTTCATCATTATATTAGCAACAACCTCTATTTTAGCAACAATTACTATTTTAGCAACAACCTCTACTGGAAAAACGTTGGTGTAAAAAGCGTCTTGCGTAAACAATTTAAACATGAGTTTTCGTACAGAATTAATTTCTCAACCAACTTCAAAAACGGAGGATGTTCTCAATTCGACTGTATTTTTTTTTATTTTTACGTTTGCTACTATTATTCAGAACTTTCGACTGAGTGGACAGAATTTTTTTATTTGGAATCTGGTGCTTCGAATGTGGTCACATATTAATTTCATTGGTATTGGATCTAGGGCTCCGGAGATACTTAGGGAATTGCTGAATCAATTATTAAATGAATACGGAGCGAGGTATTTGAAGATGGTTTTATTTTTCGTTCATTTATTTAAAAACAAAATTATTACCGATAAACATTTTAGGACACATTTTTACACAACGTTCTCTGGTCCCAAACTAATCAACGCTTGTACTAGATCACAGATAAACATAAGTTTTTTTGTAAATAAATACATATTATACACCCAGACACTAGAAAAACACTGATGTTCATCACACAATATTTTTCCAGTAGTGGGAATTGAACCCACACCCTTTGGCGCAGGAGGCAGAAAGGGCGCATCAAAAAAGGGTTGGGCTTTGTTACCTACTTCGCTAACTCAATAAGATTAGATGACACCAAAAATTCGTAAATCGTTTCGTTTATTATTCTTTAGAGTCTACTTTCTCGCTTATACGTTTTTTATTCAAACTAACGAATGTTGATAGCGGTGGAGTGAAAAGATAAACAATCACATGAATTCTCGGTGGCGTCAGTTTCATACAATTATAATTGTATTGTAAAATGTTTGTACAGAAATATTTGAACAGAAATCTTCGTTTCATCGTCAAATATGTACCAAGTGCAAATTGAAAAAAATTCGATCTACACTTCTCTGAAGGTTGTTCGAAGAAGGTTGATGAAAGTTCGAGAGTATAGTCTATAAAGAAATTACTTAATGAAACTGTTTCTACGGACTTGTCATGTCTATTTTAAATTTGAGTTCATGACGTTCGAACTTTTCAGCATTTATGCATTAATCGGACATAACTTGAACACATAATTTAAAAAACTGACGGTAGCCTGGGTTGACTGGGTCAATTCAGACGTCCAACGCCTCACGCTCGGTTTCGGAAACACTGATCATCGTAGAAGTTAACTAATCAGCTGTCAAATGGTGTTTTAAATGTATTTGAGTTGGTAAAAGAATGGTTAAACTCATCACAAAAAATGTTATTTACGTGTCCAAAACATCCTTTTGGACACTTAAATAACATGTTTCAGTAACCGGGCGCGAGTCTGTCCCGTGACCATGAATCGGAAATGGTTCCGAAACGTCGGAGGGTAAAATTAAAAATAAACACGATAAATCCGTAAGAACGGTTTCATTTAGTAATTTCTGTGTTCGCCCTTCCCACGTTTAAGGAACAGGGGAGCTTATGCTTTTCAATAAACTTTTATATGAGACGGTGGCAAGCGAGATGGCGGTTCACCTGATGTTACGCGATAAACGCCCATGGACATTTCCAATAGCCGTACAGTGGCAGATGCGTTGCCACCTTTTAATAAATAAGGCCCCGGCAACCTCACTTATCAGACGAAACGCATAAATATAACACACACAACACACTTCACGCCGGTCTTCTGTGACTTCGTGGTACTTTTTCCCGACGGACCTGCTCATTCGTGCAAAAGCGAAGCCTTTTGCGCGGCCCTGCCATACTTAAATTGCAACGTTTAAAAATTACATTACATTTCTCTTTATGTACGATTGTATTTACACCAATTAAAAATAGCATATTTGAGTTTAAACGAGTGAAGACATTCCACTGTTGAATAGTGAAATGGGAGAAAATAATTCGGTAAGAAATTCAGAAATTAATACAATCAATGCTTGTACACAAGTAAATTAATTTTCGTTAGCTGCGTACTCACCACTGTTTTGCACGGGTCCCTATTGATTATTTTGTTTTGACACCTCAAGTTATATAAGCTTGGTATTGCTGATAACAGAAATAAATGGACACTGACATCCTGACCCAACACTGTGTTCCAGCTGATAGGGAATGGCTCTTAGTTAAGCGTGATAAATTATACAGGGAGGGTTTTCTAAGTGTATCCATTTTTTTAATTAAACTCTAGATATAAATAATATTATATAAAAAATGATAAATATTCAAAATCACTCGTAATTAATTAATTACATCCATTTGAACTTATCTCAAAATGTGCGTAATTTATGGGCAACTCATTCTTTTTACGCGCGTTCATTCATAACTAACACGCACACAAGTTCGTTTCAAAAGTATACGACGCATTTATGAATTACTACCGCATTGTCAACAAGTTCTGTTTTTGATGGAACAGAATGGCAAAAAAAAAGTTTGTTTTTATTTCAATAAACGATTTTACAGCCGAGTCTGAATTTCCTGTGTGAATTTGTTCACCTTTAGAAAAGCCACCCTCTATAAAGGGTCCTTTATGTATTTGTGACGTTAACAGGTTATAAACTGTTCGTTATCTATTGATATAAAAATACAAGATGTGCCTTGTGCCCGATTACATTAGTAGAAAATTAGCGTTATTTATTATGTTAAATCGTCTCTTACCTATTAGCAGTTATTGCATTATTTTGGAGGAACTTTATCACTAACTAATCGTACATGTATTAGTTTTAAGAACGTTAAATGTGATAAATTCATAGTTACTATTCTTTTGAAAAAAATAAATGAAAATGTATTTTATGAACTTCTATGTGTAACCTAGTATTTTAGTGATAAACTTATGTTAAGAAAATAATTAAAGCGACATCTGTTAATCTGAAGCTAAATGAAATAGGAAAAAAAAGCTATGAAATTTATTACCACTTTCTTCAACAGATGGCGCTAAAAGGCATAGAAAAAGGCCTCAACAATATAATAAATTAAAATCATATGCTGGAAACGATTTTATTAATAAATTTGGAAATAAAATCCTAGCCGATATTAATTATTTAATTTAGCAGAATCATTGTCGCCATAATCATTTGAAAATCAATTCTAACAGGTACATTTAAGCAACTTATTTACTATTAACTATAATCTGAGTCGCATGAACTTATTTATAAACGTTTATTCAATAAAATGTATAATTATTTTATGTATTAATAATGTACATCGTTTCTTTATCGGATTTATTGCCTTTATTTTCATTTTTGTATATTTTATTTCTTTTTTATATCGATTTCAATAGACAAGAAAACAATTACCATTTAAAAAAAATCACATTAAACAAATATTTTAATTAAGTTATGCAACCGTTCTTCTTTTTATTTTAATTTTTCAATTTCTCTATTGAGTATTTGAGGTGATTAAGAACAAAAAGTGGTTTGGGCTCGTCCGGGATTTGAACCCGGGACCTCTCGCACCCTAAGCGAAAATCATACCCCTAGACCAACGAGCCAGTGACAATGTAGTCGAAATACTGGCAATAATACTGTACTTTGTTATCTATATATTAATACGTGAACCAAAAACTTTGTACGTACCCCTTTTTACGAAAAAAACGCGGACGCAGGAGTATGAAATTACACACACTTATGTAGTTTATATAGAGGAGTGCAGAATGCTAATATTTTTTTTATTATGCCTAAAAAACATTAAATCAATATAGAAAACATTACACATTAACACACACTACAATTATTTGACACCCACACGCATATATACTCTTTTGTTTATTGTGTATTGTATTTGATAATAGATTAATATTGTTCAAACTTATAATTTAAATAAATTATGGTCGAATTTCGACCACTCGGCGTCCACTAGTTAATATGTTAGGGAATGGAGTGGCAGCCGTGCCATATATAGGAAATATATAGATAACATTTATGATTATTAAAATATAATTATTTAGAGCTGTGAAATAACTAAATAACGTGGAATGTTGTAAAATGTGTGTACATTATGATTTTTTTTTCAAACTCTAGCCGTAATACGTGGTAGTTTATTAAAATATTGGCTATCACGTGCACTGGATGTGGGTGGATAGAGACATCTGATAGATACGAGTTCCATTGTTTACAGTCTGTTAAATATACAAATATGGATCTTGTATATGAAGTTCCGTATTTTTTAAACAAAAATATACGTAACACAATGTAGAACTTTGTTTCGTAATTTCACTTTAGTTTATTAATGTCAAATTAATGTCGATTTCCCGCGTATCTTCGTATATTTAACAAACTAATTCTGAAAGTATATTTATAGATGAAATATATACACACTGCTAATAAAAAATTGTACAGATATGACTATTTAACCAGATCCGCCTTAAATTTACGCTTCGACTATATATAAATAGTAAAACGGCGTATTGTCATTAATTGTTCTTGTAAATTCGCACCCAAACTCCTATATGTTAGAGACGGATGAAGCAACCATTGATTTGGTTGATACATCGATAAATCTGTACAGATTATGCAATGGGTCTATCATAACGCCGTTACGCACATTTGGACTGAAAAGGAGAGAATGTATTTTTACCATTCGGCACAAATACATATTTAATCTGCGACGCATTTGAACACACAAAACGTTGCGAATTATATTCGTGTCAAATGGATTCAATAGTTATAGCGTGCGTTCAAAATATTTATGATGGAATATATCTGAAACGATTAGATAACAGTTTTGTAGAGTTTTGCATAAACTAGAGTGTAGTAGATTGAAAAGTTTTATTTATCTAATACCTTTAAACGAGCAATTCTTGTATATATGTAATCGGAATCTCGGAAACGGCTCCAGCGATTTTCATGAAATTTAGTATGTGCGTAGATTCGGGGGCGAAAAATCGATCTAGCTAGTTTTCATTTTTAGAAAATGTTCTTTTATCCCTGTTTTCAGGGAATGAAAAATATCATTTGAATATGATGGTAAAATTCGCCGAAAAAAAAAGGTATAATAGCTCGGTCGGCCGCCGCGAAACAGAAGGCCGCGGTTCGTGTCAAGATTATTTACACACTTATTTTTTTTCCTTTTTTTTCTATACCAGATCATTGCTTTCTTTATATTTTTAATTTCAAAGATACACGATTTAACAAAAAAAAGTCCTCCAGGTACTCTATCGTAAAACGTATGATGGCTCAGTGTACTTTTAGATCAACGCGTTCAAGTAAACCTAAGTTCAAATCCCGCTGTCAGCACTTATGAAATTGTTAATTCAAGTGCTGATTTATCACATGCTCATCAATGAAGGAAAAAAAACCTGCATATTTTTGAGACACATAAAAAAATTGTTTGAAGATATGTGAAGTCCGCCAATCGGCTGTGCGGTCTCGTGGTGAACTTTTACCTGATACCCTCTGTACAGAGGGGTCATTTGCCCAGCAGTGGGACATGTGTAGGCATTTACTTTACTATAATTTTAACTTAAAACTCTTGCAATGTAGAGCTGTGATAGCTCAATGTCTGGACGCTACTTTTCCAGCATAACTGAGCGATCTCAGTTAAAATGGCTGCAACAATTCAATTGTCAGTTGCAACTTTCCTAAAAGGCTGGCAGTGCATTTATACGCCATCAGGTGCCAGGCAAACTTGCAGGCCTCCAGCAAGTTCGCCCCGTTTCTCCATAAAAAAACACTTAAATCGCGATAAAAACATATCTAGGAAACAATAAAAAATAACAATAGTTTGATGATATCCAAAGTCTGCCAATCTGCAGTGGGGTCGCGTTGATTATGTTCCTATTTCGTTTTAACAAAGAAGGACGTAACTTGACAGTTTATTGTAAAGTGTTAAAAATATATAGTGTGATCTGGTCATCTTGACGCTTTTTCAAATAATATGGAATTATAATGTTCCTGACACGTCTTTATCGTCTTGATGACGAAAACACTGTCGGTATGTTGCGTCGATAGTAAGATAGGCGTCGTACTATCGATGTCAAGTTGTTTGCAAACTGCCTCTATGAAACTTTAGTTTTGTGTTGGAGTAATTGAAAGGAGAAGGGCCAAAGATGACGGTAAGTGGTATGTTCAATAGTAGATAGAAGATGCTTAAATGGGTATGATGGTGATTCAATAAATGTATAAAACTTTTATATTTTTGGCACCGTTTTGTCAACAGCTTAGTAAATATGTAACCTTGTACAATTCTTCTCCAAACATTTCGGCAAACAGCAATGACGCCATAGCAAAGTTAAAAAAAATTATAGATTTCACGCGAAGTGAAAAAAGAATTATAAAGGCCATTGTATCATTAGTGAAAGTTAATTCCCACTCGAAAGTATAGCGATTAAAATCGAGTAGACGGTCTTCAGATAACTCTTCGTATTGTCTAGGCCAGACTTCCTGTTTCGTAACAAATATTACGGCCATATTATCCGTTACTTACCTTAATATACTAAAAGTTATATATATACTTGTATTAGGAGTTAAGCTACGTAAATTTCACCTCGCAACGACGCCGTCCAGTCCTAAAATTGACAGATACCATAGAACGAATGAACGAATAAGAGGTGAGAATAAAGAACGAATGGAATTGATGGAAGTTTGTGCTTTCAGTCCATAGACTGAAAGAACAAACGTCAACCTTCATCAAGCACTGTTCTAAGGCCAGCTCCCGGCTCCAAGCCAGGCTCCTATGAGTGAAGTGGTCAATTACTAGTTTACATTACCGTACCTATCTCTATAACTTCAGTAAACCATTAGCTAAATATTATTTAAGTTTAACAACGGTGCTTACGAGTAGATAAACATGACGAAAACATATTTTCGAAAATACATTGTCGTACTTTCACTCATTTTATAACAACCTAAACGAAATTTTATCATTTTAAGTGAATTGTTTGCTAAAAATTCTTTGAACTCTTTAAAAAAAGTAATACTGAAAAGTAAAAGAAGTAATACTGCCAAATTGAATATATTGTTTATTTAATGCAAATAAAACGTACGGTAGTACATTCCGTAAATATATTTAACAGAGTATCAGAAATTGGGCCATAATATGTTATGGTTTCTGATACTAACGTCCGGTTTCTGAAACACTGATTTGATCAGAATGATCTTCTTAATAATCTGAATGGTCAATTAGAGTTTAATAATAATAATAATTAATTCGAGTTTAACAATCCTTTTGGCAACATAAATAACATTTGAAAAGCCATTTCACAGCTGATTAGTTAACTTCTACGATGATCCGCGTTGAAACCGGATGTAAGCGAAAAGTTTCATCTTTGAGGATGATACTGCAAATTTCTTATTCATTTATACTTTTTACAGTGTCACTGAATGACACCATTGTGACAATTTTTTTAAAAATACAAAAAAATTATTTCAAGTTTTTACATTATTTACAATTTATTTACCAAAATGGAATCGCAACTTTTACTGCATTTATTATTATTTACATGTATGCGCCTGAAATAATTAACTAGCATAAGTTTCTTTTATGGTAATAATTTATGTTAGACGCATGCAGTATCGACATTGACATAACAATACGAAGATTTTATAAATTGGCAGCTTTAAATGTCATGAAAATAAATAAGTTCTGGATCTAAATATCGAGTTCTTTAAAAAGTAAAATATTTATTTAGTAGAGATTATTGACTCTCATACAAAAGGCAATCGTGTTTTGCGTGGAAAGCAACTACCGATTTATGGGATGTATCATTAATTTTAATAAAACGATTATCATTAATTGATAATCCGCGCCCACGGACATTTGCAACAGCTGAGGGGTGGCAGATGCATCAATTACCAACCTATAAAACATTGGCTCCCGGCTACCTCACTTACCACAAGAAACGCAAAAGTATAAAAATATCATTTCACTTCTGTCGTCCGTTAGAACGTGGTACCTCCCCAAATGGTCCTATGAAAGTCTAACTACAGTAAAAAATAGTAAAATAAGTAAAAGTAAAGTAATAAAGAAAAAGATTAACAGATTTAACTTTTTTATATATTATGTCCCTGGGCAAAGGCCTCTTCTGTACTATATAGCAGTCATCCCACTGGGCATGGGCAGAGTTCTCGTATTTTCAAAACTTTTTTTTATTATTTCGAATATATTTGGCTTTCCTCACGATGTTTTCCTTCACTGCTAAGCACGTGATAAGTCAGCACTTGAAATTATCATTGACATACTGAGTTTAAATATATTTTTTTACGCAGACACAAAAATCTGGATTTATACTTAGGTTGCTCGAGTCTATTGAATTAAAATCGAGCACGCGGACACTGTGCTATCATGTATCTTTCCATCCATA